CTTCTGTTGGTGTTTTCTCTCATTTGCTGTGTCCTGCCTGTGTTTGGTCCACATTTGGGCCATTTTTTGGTTAATTTTCCATTTAAAATTTTTTAATATTATTTTAATATTATTTTTAATATTATTTTAATATTATTTTTTAATATTATTTTAATATTATTCTTAAAAAATATTCTAAAAAAGAAAAGACTCTTCTGTTGGTGTGTGCTCTCATTTGCTGTGTCCTGCCTGACTGTTTTTGGTCCACATTTGGGCCATTTTTTGGTTAATTTTCCATTTTAAAATATTTTTAATATTATTTTAATATTATTTTTAATATTATTTTAATATTATTCTTAAAAATATTCTAAAAAAGAAAAGACTCTTCTGTTGGTGTGTGCTCTCATTTGCTGTATCCTGCCTGTGTTTGGTCCACATTTGGGCCATTTTTTGGTTAATTTTCCATTTTAAAATTTTTTTAATATTATTTTAATATTATTCTTAAAAAATACAAAAAATATTCTAAAAATTCGTTAATATTTACAAAATTTCGTAAATACCAAAACTTTTTTGGAAAGTTTTGTAAATATTTTAAATATCGAAACAAAAAAACACCCCAATTACAAATCGATTTTAGAAACAAATTTTTTCTTGATCAAACAGGCCTAGTCTCTATTGTTAGTATACTAGATGTCTAACACTGCGTCAAATGGGTAACAGTAGGAGACTCTGTATTATCTAACATTTTCGTTTATCTGACATTCTGCCGGCCCGTTTATGTTGGATAAGCGAGACTCTACTGTATTGTACTTTGAACTTGATAGTCCATTTGCGAAATGTGGTGATAAGCATCTTAGCAGAAATATGATATGTATTTAGAAATGTAAACATACACACAGATCTAGCAATGCTTTCTATTCCATTTGAAACTCTTCATTCATCATGTTGGAGTACAGAAGTCTTGCACATTTACATTAGAATTAGAGTAGCTGTAATACAAACAAACCAACGACAGCCAATTGACAAAGAGAGGCAAACTGGGCCAACTGTCCACAAAACAATACAAACTGAAGAGTTACGAAACACAAGTGAGTATCACCAAAAGTGTAAGAGTTCGGTATTGTCATCTGAAGCCATTGTCCTTCTTTTTCTCGTTAAATATCTTCCAAGTGCACTGTTTGGTTTTGAAACCAAACAAAACTTTCCCCCAAAGTTGTTGCAAAGTCAGCTCTCTTTTACCCATCGAAAAGTCTGAGAAAATTCCAACCATTTTCAAGCACTTTCTTTGCAAGGCATATTTGACTTTTTAAAAGTTTCTTGCCTTCATTCTGAACACCCATTTAAAAAATAACAGGGGCATTTTTTGAGAATTTGTACAACTGTGGGTTCATTGCATTGACTGTTCAATGACACCAGACAAAATATGAAGGAATCTTTTGTCTATGCGATGGTTGGTTCAGGCAAACTGGCAAACAAACAAGTTTCTTGAATTATAATTTCTTATTTTGTCTTTTCCAGGCAGTGATGGGGGAAAAAAATCACCTGAAAATTGGTTCAAAAAATATCTGGGGGGTTGGGGGTCCCAAGAGCTACATATGGCCATCAAACTACACTTTATCCACACCGCATTTAATCCAAACATCTACACAGTAAATTAATGCAGTTTGGCACCACTTTAACCACCTTTGTTTAAAGCTATGGAATCATGGGAGTTAGTTATACAAGACTTTAGCTTTCTCTACCAAAGAGTGTTGGTGACCCACCAAACTACAAATCCCAAGATTCCATAGTGATGTCAAACTGCATTAACTCTAGTGTGTAGATCATGCAATGGTTCTCAACCTGAGGTGCCCAGATGTTTTTGGCCTTCAACTCCCAGAAATCCTAACAGCTGGTAAACTGGCTGGGATTTCTGGGAGTTGTAGGCCAAAAACATCTGGGGACCCCAGGTTGAGAACCACTGCTCTAGAGTGTAGATAAGGCATGGGCAAACTTTCTAACATGGGTGCCGCATATTAGTACTCCTTGCTAGGAGGACTGGCTGCCCAGTAATGGAAGGAAGGAAGGGAAGGAGAAAGGAAAGGAAGAAGGAAGGAAGGACAGAAGGGAGGAAAGGAAGGATGGAAGGAGAAAGAAGGAGGGGGGAAGGAGGGAGGAAAGGAAGGAAAGACATAAGGGAAGGAAGGAGAGATGAAAGGGTGGAAGGGAAGGAGAAAGGGAAAAGAGAAGAAAGGGAGGGAGGAAGACAAGGATGGATGGGAGGGAGGGAAGGATAAAGGAAGGAGAAGGAAGGAAAGACAAAAGGGAATGAATGAATGAATGAATGAATGAAGGAAGGAAGGGGAAAGTGGGCGAGAGGGAAGAAAGGACGAAATGGTAGAAGGGAAGGATGGACGGAGAAAGAAGTAGTGAGGGAAGGAGGGAGGGAAGAAAGGAAGGAAAGACATATGGGAAGGAAGGAGGGATGAAAGTGTGGAAGAGAAGAAGGAAAGGAAAAGAGAAGGGAGGGAGGAGGAAGAGAAGGCTGAATAGGAGGAAGGAAGGAAGGGCAGGAGAGAGGGATGAAGGAAGGGAAGGATAAAGGAAAGAGAAGGAAGGAAAGACAAAACTGAAGGAAGGAGAAAGAGGGTGAGAGGGAGGAAAAAGGACGAAATGGTGGAAGAGAAGGATGGAAGGAGAAAGAGGAAGAGGATGGGAGGGAAGGGAGGGAGGTAAGGAGGAAGGAAAAACAAAAGGGAGGGAAGGACGAACGGGAGGAAGGAAGGAGGGAGGGAAGAAGGGAAGGAAGGAAAAAAGGATTGAAGGGAATGGAAGGAGGGAGAAAGAAGAAATGGAGGGAGGAAAGAGAGAAAGACAGACAAAGGGATGGAAGGTAGGAAAGAGAAAGAGGGAGAGAGGAAAGAAAGAAAGGGTGGAACGGAAGGAGAAAGAGGGAAGGAAAGAGGAAGGAAAGAGAGATGGAAGGAAGAATAGGATGGTGAAAGAGAGGAGGGCCTGAGAAAAGAGCCCAAGGGGCTGCATCTGGCCCCCAGGCCTGGTTTTGCCCCTGCTTGGTGTAGATGCAGCCCTATTCCCCCTTTATGGAACACAATTGTTGTTTTCTCCCTTGTGGATTCTCTGATGTCTAAGCAGTGTCTCTTTTTGAGCAAAATGTTCCCCGCACTCCAGACAGTTGTAAGGTTTCTCTCCCGTATGGACTCGCAGGTGCCTCATCAAGGTTTCACGCTGATTAAAACTTTTCCCACACATCAAACATGCAAATGGCTTTTCTCCCGTGTGGATCCTTTGATGTCGGATCAGCTTGGCCTTCTCGCCAAAGCTCTTGCCGCACTCGGAGCACACGAACGGCTTCTCCCCGGTGTGGACTTTCTGGTGGATGGTGAGGTTCCCTTTCCGACCGAATCGCTTCCGGCACCAGGAGCATTCGAATGGTCTCTCGCCCATGTGGACCCTCTGGTGCTGACTCAGTCGGAGCCGGTCACAGAACCGCCTCCCGCACTCAGAGCACTTGTACAGCTGCTCGCCCGTGTGAGTTGTCTGGTGTGCAAGGAGGTCCCCTTTCTTGGCGAATTCCTTCTCACACCTGGCATGGATTCTCAGATGCCTCTGCAGCTTGCCTTTATCATAGAAACTTTTCCCACACTCGGGGCAAGTGTGCGGCCTCTCGCCCGTGTGGATTTTCTGGTGCGTGTGAAGGTTGTCTTTCCTCTGGAAGCTTCTCCCACAGATGGCACACTTGTAGGGTTTGACGCCCGTGTGGATGAGCTGGTGTTTCAGAAGCTGGGATCGGTAGTGGAATCTCTTCCCACATTCGGGGCAAGGATGCTGCCTCTCTCTCTTGTGGGATAGGATTTTGCTAAAGCCCCAGATCTGTTCTGCTGTTGATGCAGACCCATACCATCTCCTTCCTGGCTTCCTCCCCTGAAATGGATCCCAACCTCCATCTCTTTTGTGAACCACAGGCCTCAGAGATGCCTCCTCGTGGTATATCTCATGTTCTGCAGCCATCTCCGGACTGCTGCATTGAAGGCTCTCCTGTTTCACCTCTGTTGTGGCTGGATTTTCTGAGGGAACAGGGAAGGAAGCAAGATCAAGTAGGGAAGGAGGGAGGGATAGGGCAAGAAAAATATATAAATTATGGAAATTGAGAAACAACGTTGAAAAAGTTAGATGGCTGAGAGGGACATGGTAGCCATATTTAAATACAGTAGAGTCTTGCTTATCTGACCCTCGCTTATCCGACATTCCGTCTTATCCGACATTCCGTCTTATCCGACACTCTTATCCAACACCCCCCTTTACTTCCAGCATTTCCTTGCCTCAAATGTTTTGTAATCTTCTGGGCCCAGCCCATCAGGTCCAGGTGCTTTCCCATTTTTTAATTTCCTAATTACTTGCTCTATTTCCTCTTTCTTAATGGGTACTTCTAGCCGCCCTGAGTCCGCCCCCCCCCCCCCCGCCCCGGGAGATTGAGAAGGGCAGGGTACATAAACAAACAAACAAACAAATAAACAAAAAAATAAACTCTTTGTCTGTTTCTTCTATTTTTACTGTCCAATTTGCTTCCACGTATTTATTTTATCCTTTGAGCATTTTCCAGCCTGATAAAGTTCTTTATAAAATACTTCAAATATCCTTAATTTGTCTTTCATTGATCTACAAATGTTTCCTGATTTATCTATCACTGCATTTATCTCATTTTTCATTTTCTTCTTTTGTGGGGCTCTGGCTAACATTTTTGAATTTTTATTACTCTATTTGAAAAACTCCCTTTTCAAATATATCAAATTCTTTAGAACCTCATCTATTTCTAGCTTATCTAATTCTTCTTTCTTTGCTCTCAATTCATTATATATATATAATGCTTATCCGACCCTTGCTTATCAATTCATATATATAATGAATTGAGACTAAGCATCGTACGAACTGTAACTTCATCCCTGTTTGCAACCCACCCAAATCCAATAAATTAAAACAACAACAACAAAAGGCAAGGTGAACATGCAGGATGATTTACTTACCCAGAGGCGCTCCATCCCTGTAGTTATCTTGCAGGACCTCCTTGTAAAGAGTTCTCTGGTGTGGATGCACCAAAGCCCACTCACCCTCAGTGAAATGCACAGCCAACTCCAAGTCCACAGATCCCTATAAGAAACCGCTGGGGTCAGACCTTGCTTGGAAACCTGCATCCAGTTCTGAGCATTGCAGTGCAAGGAGGAGATGGTGCCAAGTTTGGTCCAGGTCCATCATCAGTGGAGGTTAGAGTTTCTCTGGTTGTGGGTGAACTACAATTCCCAGAAAGCAAGGTCAGTTCCCCCCAAACCCCTCCAGCACTCACTAAAACGAGAGACTTGTACCTTCATCTTCCACATGGAAAATGCCTGTGAAAACTAGAGGGCTAGAGCTGTGCCATGAGGTGTGGCCACGCTAATCATATCTATTGAAGAAAAACCCAACAAATCTGCTTACCTCTGTTGGCTCTGGATTTGGCAAATCCTGTCCCTCGGAAGGCAACAATGGTGCTGAAGGACTAGGAAGAGCTACATCAACATCTGTAGAAGGAAGGGTAGATAAGTTGGTTACCAATCGAGTTGGCCCTCCACATTCGCAGTTTTCACTTTTGAGCACTCGCAGATTTCATGAACACGTTCTCTCTAAGAATCGCTAGATCCTCTAACACAATTACGAGGGTTGAATGAAAAGTAACGCCTCCAACTTCGTTACTTGGGTTTGGGTGGCAATTATTTTAATAAATCAAACGTAGAATGTGCTCTTTAACTACCACTCTTGCGTTTTGAGAATGAAGGATAATTCCTGGTATTGCGACTGTGGCTTGCTGGGTTTTATCAACTGGATGAAGATGCCACTGCTTGAACGGGAATTACTAGGTAAGAGCTTTGTGTTGAAGTGGAATCATAGTGCTCATCCCCTGTTTGGATATTAGCCAGCACATCAACAACTTAAATCAAGAAATAGTTTTCTAAGATCTACAGAGACACTCACTGGAACACCTCAGCAAGCAAGAGTCCAAAAGTGGCAGGCTCAAACCCAGAACCTCAACTAATGGCTGATACCAAATGAGAAACTCACCCCCCCCCCCCCCCCCCCCCCGGGCACACAGAAAACTGGGTGACTTGGAAGGTGCTGAACAGACTACGCTCTGGCACCACAAGATGCAGAGCCAACCTCAAGAAATGGGGCTACAAAGTGGAATCCACAACATGCAAGTGTGGAGCACAGACCACCTGCTGCAATGCAACCTGAGCCCTGCTACATGCACAATGGAGGACCTCCTTGCAGCAACACCAGAGGCACTCCAAGTGGCCAGATACTGGTCAAAGGACATTTAATCAACTACCAAGCTTGCAAACTTTGTGTTTTGTCTGTCTGTCTGTCTGTCTGTTTGTTTGTTAAAAATGCAATGCAACTGGTCTGCCCCTGACACGATAAATAAATAAATAAATAAATAAATAAATAGTGCTATAAATCTGGAGTAAGGTATTATTCCATAACTAGCTAAGGATATAAGAGGGTTGAATGAAAAGTAATGCCTCCACCTTCGTTACTTGGGTTTGGATGGGAATATTTTAATAAATCAAACACAGAAATAATCCTTAGAATGTGCTCTTTAACTACCACTATTCACTTTTCCGCATAATCACCAGAAAATTGGATACATTTCTGCCAACCAAGAACAAGTTTTCTGAAGCCGTCATGGAAGAAGTCGACACTCTGTTTCCGCAACCACAGTTCTCTCAACATCTTCATCAGAAGTATAATTATGCCCCCGCAGATCTTCTTTTATTATCGGGAAGAGATGGAAGTCAGACGGTGCTAAATCTGGACTGTATGGAGGATGCCATACAGTGGTGAGATCCAGTCTCTGAAGTTCTGCTGTGTACCCATCGTGCACAGATATTCCGATAGCCAAGCAAAGCAATAATGTGACCCACACGTTCTTGTGAAATGCTGATTATGCTTGAAATTTCTATCTGAGTGATACGACGATCGTCCTAAATCAATCTGTCAACCTTTTGCGTTTGAAACTCGGGTGGTTGCTGTCACAGGACGTCCAACTCTTTGTTTGTCACGCAAGTCAGATGTTCCCACCTCAACATCTTTAAACTTACTCACCCAATGACACACAGGACTCACATCAACACAGTCACCATAAACAGCTTGCATTCTCTGATGAATCTCCTTTGGGGTGACACCTTCCGCTGTCAAGAATTCAATGACTGAATGTTGCTTGAGTTGCATTGACTGACCTTCTGACCAGGATTCCATACTTTGCACCTTAACAACACAACCCTTTAATGCTAAGGCTTCCCACCAAAATAGAACTGTAGAGGAGAGTCTACTGAACAAGCCAGAACCTGCCGCATACCAGTACTGCCATCTGTTGAGGAGTTACGAAGGTGGAGGCATTACTTTTCACTCAATCCTCATATATGGCCAACTTCTGCTATAGGTTGATTGGGGAGTTGTGCTGGTGAACCTAGAAATTCCTACAGAGAAGCATTAATCAACTCCATTAATGCTATGGTCAACTGCAAGAAGTCACACTGGAACACCTGGATTAGACAAAGGCAAACTTTGGCCCTCCAGGTGTTTTGGACTTCAACTCCCACAATTCCTAACAATTCCTTTACTCTTCACTTCAGCTAATCTTTGGACACAATCCCAAACCCATTACCTTGGGATTCAGCAACCACATCACTCCCCTCTTTGGCCTCCGTATACAGTGGTCTCTTCCCAGGATTGAGTGGATTCACTGTCACAGCATTTGATCCCACAGGCACCTGAAAGAGCAGTAACAAATCCAGTGTCGGAGTGTTGTGTAGTTTCTGGGCTGCATGGTGTGTTCTAGCAGCATTTTATCCTGACATTTCGCCTGCATCTATGGCTGGCGAAACATCAGGGAGAGAATGCTGCTAGAACACAGCCATGCAGCCCGAAAACACAACACCCCAATAATTCCGGCTGTGAAAGCCCACGGCAATTAAAATCCCATAAAATTTAGGAAAAAAAATATAAACAGACCAGAACTAATAGAGGAATGGGAATTGTTTGGACTTCCAGACTCAGTCAAGGAAGCCCGGGCTGCCTTGAAAATAATAATAATAATAATAATAATAATAATAATAATAATAATAATAATACTATACTTTATTTATATTCCGCCCTTCTCCCCAAAGGGACTCAGAGCGGATTTCAGTATATAAATAGATACAGGCAAACATTCAAAACCTTGTTACAATACAATGAGATACACAGACACAGACAAAGGCAAAGGCTTCTCCTTTCATTTCTGGCTCTGGAGGCCATGCTCATCTCTGGCTCTTGGGGGAGGTGCTTTTCTCCAGTTCCAAGCTGAGGAGCCTGAGTTGTCACATCCTGGTCATGTGGCCAGCATGACTGCTTGGAGAGCCTTTTCCCGCTGAAGCGGTACCTATTTATCTACTCACATTTGCATGTTTTCAAACTGCTAGGTTGGCAGGAGCTAGGGCTAACTGCGGGAGCTCACCCCATCCCTCAGATTTGAACTGCTAACTTTCAGGTTAGTAGTTAAACAGCACAAGGGTTTAACGCATGTGCCACCACGCCCCCTGAGCATGGCTGTTGAAGATAGGAAGTCTTGGAGTTCTACCATTAATAGGACCAATGTAAGAAGATGTCAACTTGATGACAGTTAACAAGAACGACAAGGCATCAAAACACTCCGTTTTCAAAAGCTCACCTGCCATTTCCACGTCTCCACTTCTTGCTGGCTCATTAGGAAATCCTCGGCCAAGGCAGCGGTCTGAATGCCATTCTCCGGACCACATTCCCGAACCCAGCTCTGGATCTCTGGCGGCAGGATGGCCAGGAATTGCTCCAGGATCAGCAGCTCCAAGATCTGCTCCTTGGAGCGTTGGTCCGGCTTCAGCCACTGGCGGCAGAGCTCCTGCAGCCGGTCGTAAACCCTTCGCGGGTCTTCCACCTCTTGGTAGCGGAACTGCCTGAAGTGCTGGCGTTGTGCCTCTATTTTGGTGGCCTCCCTGCGCAAGATGGCAGCCGTCACTTTCCCAAAATCCTCCTGGTCTTTGGCTTCTAGGCCACTAAACGCCTGCTTGGCTTCACCACTGAGCGCCGGGAGGAGCCGAGCCACCCAGTCCTCCCTTGGCCAGCGACAGGCTTCGGCCACTTGCTGAAAGGAGGTCAGGAAAGCTTTGGTGTCGTCCCACGGTGCGGGGTCTTTCAACTGTGGGGTTCTCCATAAGGAGTATGGGGGATCCAAGGTCTGCAAGAACTCCTGCCACTGGGCTTCCCATTCTTTCGCCGGTCGTCTGTCGGGGTCCGGTTTAATCCTTCTGGGGGTTTGGTATGGTGGAAGGCCTTCAGCCAAATCAGTCTGAATATCAGAGGTCACCTTTCTTGCCACTTTCGCCATAAGGAGGCCGGTGGGTAGGGCTTCTGGCGCTGCTTTTGTCCCAAGCAACAGCCTCTCGTTTCTGGGTCTTTACTTTGTCCTGAAAGTGTCCAAAAATGTAAGAAGTTCAGGCACATCAATCTATACCAGTATTTCTCAATCTGGGGGTCAGAATCCCGGGGGGGAGGGGTCACGAGGAGGTGTCAGAGGGGCCACCAAAGACCATCAGAAAAAAACAGTATTTTCTGTTGGTCATGGGGGTTTTCTGTGTGGGCAATTTGGCCCAATTATATCATTGGTGAAGTTCAGAATGCTCTTTGATTGTGGGTGAATTATAAATCCCAGGAACTAGAACTCCAAAATGTCAATATTTATTTTCCCCAATCTCCCATCAGTGTTCATATTTGGGCATATTGAGGATTCGTGCCAAGTTTGTTTGAGTCCTCAGTGCTCTCTGGATGTAGGTGAACTACAAATCCAAACCACAAGGTCAAACCACAAACCACGAGATGCAGAGCCAGCCTTCAGAAATGGGGCTACAAAGTGGAATCCATGACATGCGAGTGTGGAGAAGAGCAAACCACTGTCCATCTGCTGCAATGCAACCTGAGCCCTGCCACATGCACAATGGTGGACCTCCTCGCAGCAACACCAGAAGCACTCCAAGTGGCCAGATACTGGTCAAAGGACATTTAATCAACTACCAAGCTTGCATACTTTGTATTTTGTCTGTTTGTTTGTTTGCTAAAAAATGCAACGCAACTGTTCGGTCTGCTCCTGACATGATAAATAAATACTAAATGTCCTTTCAGAGAGATTTAAAATAGTATTTTTGTCCATATGAGAGACCTTCTTTTCAGCAGCCAAGAAGCAAATCACTCTGTCTCTGCTTCTCTCTTCCTCTCTCTGTATCTGCATAGCTCGAGCTTGAACAAAAATGCAACAGTATCCAAAAGTTCCAGGCTCAGCCATCACCCCTGTGCATTGCCCGACCAATCAGCTTCGTGCGTCTTGTTTTACAGTTGACACACACACACTTACTGATTCCTAGCATTCTCCAACAATGTTTACTATAAAGGTAAAGACAACCTTGGGACCTTCCAGTGCATCTCTTGTTTCTGAGTGCCACAAATGCTGCTAAGCGCAGAAAACAGAGCAGCAGAAAGACAATAAAAGACCCCACAAAATAAACTTGCATTTCTCTCCCAAGCTACAAATCCCAAGACTCCAAAGCATTGAGCCCTGGTAGCTCAAGTGATGTCAAACTGCATTAATTCCACAATGCGGATGCACCCATTCAGCTGACTTTATGCCTGGCAAAAAGGATCAGTTTAGGAACACAGCTTGCCTTTTGGGATCTGCCTCCTTCTAGCTATTCCTCAGCCTCACAGAAAAGCTACATCAATTTCCAAAAAGAAAGAAAAGGGGGAAATACTCCTTGAACTCACCAGAGCTGCATGTGGACCAAAAAAAACAACAAACCATCCAATTTTGGCTCTTAGGAAGAGAGAAAAAAGGAGGTGGGGCAGGAAGCTGTCTGAGAGCCTTGGAGGATTTTCTAGGAGCCAAAGCTTTGTTGCTTTAACCCTTCCACAACTTTGCAAGGATCCAATAGACCTGGATGGAAACAGATTGCCAGAATTGGTTTAGAAGAGTGGTTGTCAACCTTCCTATTGCTGCAATCCCTTAATACAATTCCACATGTTGTGATGACCCCCAACCATAACATTATTTTGTTGCTACTTCATAACTAATTTTGCTACTGTTATGAATCATCATGTAAATATCTGATATGTAGGATGTATTTTCATTCACTGGACCAAATTGGGCACAAATACCTGATGCGCCCAAACTTGAATACTGGTTGGAAGGGACTGATTTTGTCATTTGAAAGTTGTTGCTGGGTTATGTAGTTCACCTACAATCAAAGAGCATTCTGAACTCCACCAACGATGGAACTGAACCAAATTTGGCACACAGAATTCCCATGACGAACAAAATACTGGAAGAGTTTGATGAGATTGACCTTAGGTTTGGGAGTTGTAGTTCACCTGTATCCAGAGAGCACTGTTGACTCAAACAATGATGGATCTTGACCAAACTTGGCACGAATACTCAATATGCCCAAATGTGACCACTGGTGGAGTTTGGGGAAAATAGACCTTGGATTTATAGTTCACCTACAATCAAAGAGTATTCCGAACTCCACCAACGATGGAACTGAACCAAACTTGGCACACAGAACTCCTATGACCAACAAAATACTGTTAATAATATATTTTGTGGGTTGTTGTAGGTTTATTTGGGCTATATGGCCATGGTCTAGAGCAGTGGTTCTCAACCTGTGGGTCCCCAGGTGTTTTGGCCTACAACTCCCAGAAATCCCAGCCAGTTTACCAGCTGTTAGGATTTCTGGGAGTTGAAGGCCAAAAACATCTGGGGACCCCAGGTTGAGAACCACTGGTCTAGAGGCATTCTCTCCTGACGTTTCGCCTGCATCTATGGCAAGCATCCTCAGAGGTAGTGAGGTCTGTTGGAACTATCTGTGGAATGACCAGGGTGAGACAAAGGGCTCTTGTCTGCTGGAGCTATATTTTGTGCTTCTGAGATTTCCTGTTCCTTTACCTGGATGGGAAAGTTCTGCATCCCAGATGATTATACAGCCTGCGAGAAGAGACTCCAAGCTGGGGATTTCCTCAATCAATTCCCACCTCACCCATCTTATGGACATTATCTGGACATATGTAACACAATAGCCCAACGGTCAGGACAAGATGGCCCACTGCCTTTTCCTTCCTGCCTCAGGGGAAGTAGCTACTCTTCACAATGTGCCTTTGTGTGTGGGACCTCTCCTCATGGAAGGAATTCTGATTGTCTTTTTCCTAAGCCCCTCTCATCTACCATTTGCATGATTGTGCCAATATGTCCTGTTTTGAACCATGATCCAGAACTGCTGGGTCAGCCCCCCCCCCTTATTTTTTTAAAGAGTAGGTTAAAATGTTATTAATGTTTAATAGGTTTTTTCCCCTCTTGTTCTTGTCTTGGAAGCCCTTGTGCATTGGGGTCCAGCCGTGATTCTTCTTCCAAGGTATCCCATGATTGGGAGAGCATTTTTTGTGTATATTCAAGTTGTTTCTGACTTCTAACAACCCTAAAGTGAACATATCAAGAGGTTTTCTTGGCAAGATTTGCTCAGAGGATGCTAGGAGATGAGAGTATGGATCCCTGCTCAAATATGGAAACGTATGCCTATGAAATGTGGACGTCACATGCAACTCCTGGAACGATTCCATCAGCGTTGCCTCTGAAAAATCCTGCAAATCTCTTGGGAAAACAGGCGGACAAATGTCAGCATACTGGAAGAAGCAAAGACCGCCAGCATTGAAGTGATTGTCTTCCACCATCAACTCCCCTGGACCGGCCACATTGTCCAAATGCCCGACCACCGTCTCCCAAAGCAGTTGCTCTACTCTGAACTCAAGAACAGGAAACAGAATGTTGGAGGACAGGAAAAGAGATTGAAAGATGGGCTGAAAGCTGTGGCATAGACAGAAAGAACCATTTCAAATCTCTTATAAAAGGACATTTAGTAAGCTGATGCAAATGATCATATTGTACATATGTTGTTCTGAACTAAGGAGAGTAAACTACTTGTTCTTTACTGTTAACCTTTGTGGCATATTTTCTTTCCCTGGCAAGGCAAGTGTGGGCTGCTCAAATGTGAACTACACGTGGTTTATTTAACATTACGCCACAGAGATCACACTGTAACCATCCCCCACTTTTTCCCTTACACAAAACAGAAAAAAGGCAGACATCTGTGTTTTTTCCAAGTCATTTTATGACGGCAACTTTTTCCCTAACATGATTTGTAATTTCTTGTGCCAGGTACGGGAAAAACAAAACAAACAGATGATACAACAATCCTGATAACACAGAGAGGGTAGGATGCGAGACTGGGAATTATTGCATCCGCGTTGTGGCTCAGAGGCTGAATTATTTGCAATGATGACTTCCCCTCATTCATTCGTTAATTCAGGATTTTTTTTCTAATTGTTTTGGCTCCTTTAGTGTCCAAATTGTTTGTCTTTTGAGAATGTTTTCCTGCATCATCTCATGAGCCTTCTAGGGATGCATAGTTTCAGCTGGAAAAGGCCACACACCTCTCCATTGAATATTTACTGAAATCATTGAGTCCTTATGATCAAAACCTTTCTTAAATTTGTGAAACTTGACTTTGATGAATCAATCGGAGATATGTTTTCTCCAAATCACTAGGCTAAGGGTTTCTGGATATTGCAATCCTATAAGAGCATTTCTCTAGGCGCATGAACGTTTTTTCTCCTGTATGGATTCTCTTATCATTGCTTGAGAGACGATCATATATGCGTATATCAGGCACGGGCAAAGTTTCTACCTTGGGTGCCGCATAGGGTGGGTGGGCTGGGAGGGAGGGGGTTCCCCCCAAGCCCCCTCCCTGCCCTTTTCCTCCCCTTCCTCTTCTCTTTCGGAGGCAGAAAGTGAAGGAAAGACGGGAAATGTTTGGATCTCAAAAGAGCTGGCCTTCATCAGGATGAGATGGTGGATGGGAGAGAAAAAGTGTATCCAGTAGACCCCATATTGCCTACTCCTGATATGGAATCCTAGAGCTGGAAGAAACCCCCAAGGGCCATCTAGTCCAACCCCCAGTCATGCCAGAAGACACAATCAAAGCACTCCTAATAGGCAGCCTCTGCTGAAAAGCCTCCATCACACCCTGAGGCAGCCTACGCCACTCTCCAACAGCTCTTATTCTCAGGAGGTTTTTCCTAATCTTTTCAGTAAAATCTCTTTTCCTGCCATTCGAAACCATTGCTGTCTCTAGAACAGCAGAAAGCCAGTCCCCCCCCCCCCCCCTCAATGGGACATTCTTTCAAATCTTGAAACATGGTTCTCATGTTCCTCTCTACCTTCTCTTCTCCAGCTAAACATCCCAGGAAGAAAGGAGGAAGGAAAAAAGGAAGAAAGAAGAAAGAGAAGAAGAGAAGGAAGGAAGGAAGGAAGGAAGGAAGGAAGGAAGGAGAGAGAGAGAGAGAGAGAGAGGAAGGGAGGAAAGAGGGAAGGAAGGAAAGACAAAAGGGAGGCAGGGAGGGAAAGAAGGAAGGAAGGAAGGAGAAAGGAAGAGAGAGGGGGAGGAAAGACAAAAGGGAGAGACGGAAGGCAAAAGGGAGAGAGGGGAAGGAAGGAAAGAGGGAAGGAAGGACAAAAGGGAGGGGGGAGGGAAGTAAGGAAGGAAGGAGGGAGGGAGGGAGGGAGGGAAGGGAAGAAGGAAGGAAGGAAGGAAGGAAGGAAGGAAGGAAGGAAGGAAGGAAGGAAGGAAGGAGAAAGAGAGAGAGGGGGGGGAAGAAAAAGGGAGAGAGGAAGGAAGGAAAGGGAAGGGGAGCAAGGAAAGAGGGAAGGAAGGAAAGACAAAATGAAGGAAGAAGAAAGGGAAAGGGAGAGAGGGAGGGAGGAAAGATGGAAGGAAGGACGAAAAGGTGGAATGAAATGAAATGAAATAATGAAATAAAATGAAACTTTATGTGTAACCCACCCTATCTCCCCGAAGGAACTCAGGGTTGCTCACAACAAAATACACAATGGCAAACATTCAATGCAGACAGTAGTATAAAAATATCAAACGTTTCATGAATTTGCATGTCATCCTTACATAGGGGCCATGCTAATCTTCTCTGTATCGTTCCAATTTTAGTATATGTGCTGCTGAAGTGAGGGAAGGAAAGAGAAAGAGGGAGGAAAGGAAGGAAGGGAAAGATGGAAAGAGGAAGGAAAGAGAATGATGGAAGGATAGGATGGTGAGAGGGAGGAGGACCTGAGAAAAGAGCCCAAGGGGCTGCATCTAGCCCCTGGGCCTGGGCTTGCCCATACCTGATATATATACCTGATATATACCTGATATATAAGTTGACCTCATGTACAAGTCAAGGGGAACAAATGATGGATTTTGATATGATTCAAGGGTCATTCTGTAAAGAAGGGAAAATGCAATGTTTCTTTAGGGACAGAAGGGCAGAAATTGTTCCACAGCAGAGAAAGCAGAGTGGGTCGGTGCTTGTTTTTGGATTCTCCTGAGACAGCTCCTTCCTTTTGCCACTTCAGTCAGAGAAAGGCATTAATCTTTTTTATTTTATTTTATTTTGGTAAGAGTTAACGTACAGCACTCACACTGACCCGCTGATAAATTGACCCAGGTGATTTTCGGGTTGATTGTTTTAACTTAAATTTCTAAACATATACATGAGTATATAGAGTAAATCCCGCTGATCAAAGTTTCTCTCATACCATTTCATATGGAAAATATATCATATTTCACTGCTTAATAGTCACCACTGCATAATAGTTGCACTCTCATTTTGGGGGGCATACATTGATATTTCTAGTATTCATTGCATAATAGTCACACCTTTAATTAACTTGTCTGGATGCTTGACCCCTTACCCATTATGGGTCTTCACTCTCTTCCAGACGACTAAAGCTCTGTCGCTGGAATGTTTCACCATGTAATAGTCTCACCTCCTTTTCACTAAAAAAGGGGGAAGAGTGTGACTATTAGTAGGTGAAATACATTACATCCTTTTCTTGCTCTTTGGATGTCTCCCTTCACCAAAGTGTTCGCCACACTAGGAACATTTTTGGGGATTCTCTGATGACTTATCAAGGTGACTTTCTGGATGTAGCGCTTTCACCATGTAATAGTTGCACCCCCTTTTTTTTCATTGCTCTTTGGATGTCTCCCTTCACCAAAGCATTCGCCAGACGAGGAATTTTTTTTGGGATTCTCTGATGACTTATCAAGGCGACTTTCTGGATGTAGCGCTTTCACCCTGTAATAGTCGCACCCCCATTTCACTCAAAAGGGCGGGGGGAGTGCAGCTATTATGAGGTGAAATACATTACATCCTTTCATTGCTCTTTGGATGTCTCCCTTCACTGAAGTGTTCGCCCCACTAGGAACATTTTTTGGGATTCTCTGCGGCATGAATTCTCTGATGACTTATCAAGGCGACTTTCTGGATGTAGCGCTTTCACCCTGTAATAGTCGCACCCCCTTTTCACACAGAAAGGGGGGGGAGTGCAACTATTATGATGCAAAATACATTACATCCTTTCATTGCTCTTTGGATGTCTCCCTTCACGAAAGCATTCGCCACACTAGGAAGATTTTTTGGGATTCTCTGCGGCATGAATTCTCTGATGACTTATCAAGGCAACTTTCTGGATGTAGCTCTTCCCACATTGAGAGCACTGGAACGGTTTCACACCGCTATGAATTCTCTGGTGGTTCCTCAAATACTCTGCCATGCTGAAACATTTCCCGCACTGAGGGCATTCGTAAGGCTTCAGTCCAGTGTGAATTCTCTGGTGGTTCTTCAGGTACCTCCTCTGGTTGAAACATTTGCCACACTGAGAACACTTGTGCGGTTTGTCCCCAGTGTGAATCGTCTGGTGGTTCTTCAGGCACTGAGTACGACTGAACTTCTTCCCACATTCGGAGCATTTGTATGGTTTCTCTCCCGTATGAATTCTTTGGTGGATTGTCAGATTTCTCCGCTGGCTGAAGGATTTCCCACACTGAGAGCATTTGTAGGGTTTCACCAGACTGTGGATTCCCTGGTGTCTCCTTAATGCCTGTCTGGAAGCGAAGATTTTTCTACATTCGGGACATTCGTGTAGCTTCTCTCCTGTATGAAGCTGCTGGTGATTCATCAAATGCTCTTGCCTACTGAAGCACTTCCGACAAAAAGGGCATTCAAATCGTCTCCCTTCGTTTTCAACTCCTTGAATTCTTGGGAGTGACGCTGGATAACAAAACTTCTTCCCGGATTCGGGAACGTTCTGAGGTTTCCCTTCTCTTTGGGCAGCCTGAAACTTGCCTAAATTACTTCCATTTCCATGCTCACTTGACCGAGATTTATTCTCTCTTGTTGGCATTTCTTGGTGGGAATATCGCCGAATGTTTTCCTCTGCCGCGGAGCTATCTCTGGTACTTATCGTGTCGACATCGGATCCATAGTGATATCGTCTATCATGTATGGAGAATAAGAGCATTCCCTCCTTCATATGTACTTTGGAAGGCTGAGTAACTGGTGCTATAAATCCTTCTCGGCTTTCAGCGCCCTCCTTCCCCTTCTTTAGGGCACACTTCTTCCGTATGCCTTTAGACTTCCATCTCTCCTCACACATTCCCAGCACAATCCTGTGGGTTTTCTGTGGAAGTCGTTGTGGGATGTCTTCCAGCTCTTTTTCTTCATATGGAGAATTTTCCAACTTGACCTGACTTCCCATATTGTTACCTGTAGAGACAAAGGCAGATACGGGATAGAAGAAAGTAAGAAAACAGAGGTACTTCTGGTAAGTCGAAAGGCTGAACAGGGCATAGGGTTACAGCCTGTGCTTGACGGGGTTACACTCCCCCTGAAGGTGCAGGTTCACAGTTTGGGAGTGACCCTGGACTCATTGCTGAGCCTGGAACCCCAGGTTTCGGCGGTGACCAGGGGAGCATTCGCACAATTAAAACTTGTGCGCCAGCTGCGCCCGTACCTTGGGAAGTCTGACTTGGCCACGGTAGTCCACGCTCTGGTTACATCCCGTTTAGACTACTGCAACGCTCTCTACGTGGGGTTGCCTCTGAAGACTGCCCGGAAGCTTCAATCAGTCCAACGTGCGGCAGCCAGATTGCTAACAGGGGCGGGGTACAGAGACCATACGACCCCTCTGTTACGCCAGCTCCACTGGCTGCCGATGCTTCCGTGCACAATTCAAAGTGCTGGTTTTGACCTATAAAGCCCTAAACAACTCCGGCCCAGTTTACCTGTCCGAACGGATTCTCCCCTATGAACCATCAAGGCTACTAAGATCTTCCGAGGGGGGGGGCTGCTCTCCGTCCCACCACCCTCACAATCACGGTTGGTGGGGACGAGAGACAGGGCCTTCTCGGTGGTGGCTCCCCGGCTTTGGAACTCCCTCCCACTAGAGGTTAGATCTGCCCCCTCCCTCCTGATGTTCAGGAAATCACTAAAAACTTGGCTCTGGAAGGTGGCATTCGGGGACTGAACCTAGAACCTTCCCCGGTGATGAATTATGATGAACTGTGACTATGAGCATGACTATGACTTTGACTGGATTGACGATTTGGCGTAGGAAACTGTAATGATGTAATTATGATGTTTTTATTGTACTGTGTTGTGTTATTTTGATATGTAATGATTTGTACTTGTTGCTCTTTTATATGATTGTATTTTATATATGCTGTAAACCGACCTGAGTCCCTCATCGAGGTTGAGAAGGCCGGTATAGAAAACCTCTAAATAAGAAAAAGGTGAAGCTAGGCTACTTGAAAAGCACCTATGGCTGCCACTTACTCATAAATGTCTTTTTAACATTTGCCATACATTTCTTTTTTTAAAAAATAATGGGATGAATGAAAGAAAAATTATATTAAGACTCCCCTATCTGTTCAGCACTGGAACTCTTTGGCCCAGAGTGTCACGGCGCGTCTGGCCCCACTTATATGTGAATGTATAGCTAAATTGTTTGGTTATCTATAGCTGTCAATCAATGTTGTTTTGCACCGGTTGAATTGCTCCCCCAGCCCAATTGTTTGGCTCCACCCCTTCCTGGGGAAGAGGGCAGTGCTTTCTTTTCATTCCACCATCAAACAACTCAGCAGATGGACGTGAGAAAGGCTTGGCTCTAAAGCCCTTAGTCAAGTCATCTCTTATCACCAATTCTTAAGTTTGTACTCTTAAGATTCATGCTTCATGTTCAGATCACCCTGGACGACGTTGAGGAATCTTAAGCGCCTTCAAACCAGTCCTTTTGGCATCAAGAGGAAGACTTTGTGCCTTCAAATATAGGCTATTGGACTGGGGTTGTGAATGTTCAGCCATTCACAGCCATTGAGAAAGAGGGAACTTGGAAAGCTCCTCAGCTAGAAAACTCCTTGGACTCAAGACTTCAGAGACTGTCATGTATATTTTCTTTACCCCCTTTTGGAACATCAAGTTTATCCCTAAGAAAGATAACTCATTGTGAACAATAAAGCGTATTTCAAGTTATCGATAGTGTCTTGATCCTTGAGAGTTCCAGTTCTCTAAAGGAGGGCAAGAAGCAATCCCCTGGGGAAAAGATGCCACGTCCATGTTGCTTTCACTAAGATCTATAGCCCCCAGGTGCGACGGCACACAGAGTGTGGTGGAGGCTCCTTTTTTGAAGGCTTTTATACAAAGGCTGAATGGCTATCTGTCAGGAGTGCTTTGAATGTGATTTTCCTACTGCTTGGCAGGGGATTGGACTGGATGGCCCACAAGGTCTCTTCCAACTCTAGGATTCTATTATTCTTTTCTATCGTAAGTAAAACAGCATATGAAATACTGTCTTTTATTTTTAGAATAATAGAATCCTAGAGTTGAAGAAACCACATGAGTGGTCCAGTCCAAGTCCCTGACATGCAGGAACAGCACAATCAAAGCACCCCAAACAGATTGCCATGCAGCCTCTGTTCTTTGGGTTTATTGGCCAAGGAGAAGAAAACTCCTTACCTAATGCATCCACCTGCCCATCATCCTCTTGCAGAACTTGCCAAACAATAGTCTGTTGACTTGGCTGGGTCATGTTCTGCCAGGCTATCTGCACAGATGGGTCAGTTTCCTGGAGATCCACTGGTTCCTGCAAATGGGAGAGTCAACAGAAAGGGAAACCTTTTGCATAAGACTCAGTTGCAGAAGGCAAAATATACTATGTGTTGACTGGGAAAGACATGAGCAATTAATTTTTAACACTGAGAAATATACAGCAGGGAACGGGGGAATCAAATTATAGTCTGAGTCCTAGACCTGAAACAAGAGGTGGGTAACTATGGGGGAGCCATTTTTCAGCCCCCAAAGACTGCACCTGTCAAAGAAAATGAATAAGAAAGATCAGACAAAGAAATTAAAAATAAAAATGGTTTGTTCACCATCTGATTCTGGGAACTTTGGTCTAAAGGACGTACATAGATATGCAGTTTTTGATCTAGAACAGGCATGGGAAAATTTTGGCCCTCCAGGTGTTTTGGACTTCAACTCCCACCATTCCTAACAGCCAGTAGGCTGTTAGGAATGGTGGGAGTTGAAGTCCAAAACACCTGGAGGGCCCGAGTTTGCTCGTGCGTGATCTAGAGATTGCCCCAGAAAATAAACTACCCAGCGAATGTGTAGTGCTCATGGGAATGGGCTTTGGAGGTACTGTTTTGCAGTGGCTCCTGTTCTTCCTAGAGGGTTGCTTCCAGAGGGTGTTGTTGGGGGACACCTGCTCAGCCCCAGTGCAATTGTTCTGTGGGGTCCTGCAGGGTTCAGTACTGTCCCCCATGTTATTTAACATCTACATGAAGCCGTTGGGGGAGATCATCTGGAGTTTTGGAGTTTGATGTCATCTGTATGCAGATGATGTTCAACTCTTATCACTCCTTTTCACCTCTACTAAGGAGGTTGTTCAGGTGCTGAACCGGTGCTTAGCAGCTGTCACGGTCTGGATGAGAGCTAACAAATTGAAACTGAATCCAGACAAGTCAGAGGTCCTCCTGGTCAGTTGAAAGGCCAAATAGGGTATAGGGTTATAACCTGTGCTTGTTGGGGTTACACTCCCCCTGAAGCCGCAGGTTTGCAGCTTGGTAGTGAACCTGGATTCATTGCTGAGCCTGGAACTTTCAGGTCTTGGCGGTGGCCAGGGGAGCTTTTGCACAATTAAAACTTGTGCGCCAGCTGTGCCCATATCTTGGGAAGTCTGACTTGGCTATGGTGGTCCACACACTCATTACACCCTGAATAGATTACTGCAACACACTCTATATGAGGTTGCCCTTGAAGACTGCTCAGAAACTTCATTTAGTCCAATGATGGGCAGCCAGGTTGCTCAACGGAGCAGGATACAATCTATCTGTTACACCGGCTCTACTGGCTGCCTATCGCAGTGGTTCTCAACCTGGGGTCCCCAGATGTTTTTGGCCTTCAACTCCCAGAAATCCTAACAGCTGGTAAACTGGCTGGGATTTCTGGGAGTTGTAGGCCAAAAACATCTGGGGACCCAAGGTTGAGAACCACAGGCCTATCAGCTTCCGAGCACAATTCAAAGTGCTTGCTTTAGCCTATAAAGCCTAAACAACGCTGGCCCAGTTTACCTGTCTGAACGTATCTCCCTCTATGAACCTCCAAGGACACTAAGATCATCTAGGGAGGTCCTGCTCTTGGTCCCACCACCATTGCAGGTGTGACTGGTGGGGACGAGAGACAGGGCCTTCTCTGTGGTAGCTTCTTGACTGTGGAACTCCCTCCCCAATGACATCAGATGGCCCCCCCTCCTGATCTTTCGTAAAAAAAACTTAAAACCTGGCTATGGGGTCAAGCCTTTGAGCAATAAGTTGGAATAATCTAGGAAGAGAATGTTTTAACAACCTTAATGGTCTGACCCAGATGATATTTTAAACTAGCATTTTTTTTAAAAATAGACCGTTTTTAAGTGATTGTTTTATAATGGCGTTATTGTGTTTAATTGTATTGTGATTTTTAATGTATTGTATCGGCACCGTGAGTTGCCTGTTGTAAGCCATCCTGAGTCCCTCCCCAGAGGTGAGAAGGGCAGGGTATAAATGCCCTAAATAAATAAATAAAATAAATAAAAAGAGACTCAGTGGAATAACACATACCTCTTTGATGTTACTCACGATGATTCTCTGTTCTTCTGGAGAAAGCGATGAACTGCCCTCGATGGGGCACTTGACTGTCTCACTGCTTTGTCTATCTTCTTTATGGATCTCTCCTTTTACAGCCTCTGAGGGATCTTCCTCTGTATTCTCAGAATCCAGGCATGCCTCCTTTTTTACCCCCTGCAAAACAAAGGGGCATCCAACTCAGAAGAGAGGCAAAAGGCTGAGGTTCAATGCACAAGAGACCCTTCTTGCTCATCAACCTTGTTCTGTGCTGGTACGGCTGTACCAGGAACTCCAACTTTATTTGCTTTGTATTAAATATTTGTTTGCAATCCAAGGTTTCAGGGATTCTGCAGAAAGGTGGCTGCCTTTGGTTGCAATCATACGGCAAGTCACCTGTCCATCATCGTTAAGTTTTGGTTCCGCCCCTTGTTCAGGGCAATTGGGAAGGGAAGGGAGCCATTTTTAGTTAGTCTCAGTAAGGAAACCCAATTTAGAGGACATGTACAAGCTTCTCCTGTACAAAAGCTTCAACCCTTAAGACTTTCCGTGGAGAACAGTCTTAGGAGCATCCAAAGATTTCCAGGGAAACAGCCCTAAAGCTTTGAGGAATTTCTGAGGGTAAACAGTTTGGAAGACCAAAGAACTCCAGCTGGAGAATCTACTGGCCTTACTGGTAGGTCCACTCAGTGCTCGAGACGTAGTTCGACCCGGTACATCAGTAAGTAAGTAAGGCTTAGATTACCTGGGCCTGGGAGAAGTTAAAAAAGGGATTTTCCTTTAAAGTAAAGAAACAGTTATTGAAGACAATTGCCTGTCACTCGTGGACATGATTAGGAAGCCACCAATTACATAAAAGCCTGGAAGCATTTATTTAACTTCATTGAAGACAAGAGAAGTTTCTGTTTGATTGTTCATTAATAAAGGACTTTGTTATACTTCACAAGCTATCTAAAGACCATTTGTGGTGGAAAATCCTTTAGAACTTCTCTTCGGGGGGCCCTGGCTTCCTGCTGGGCAAAAGTTGCACGTCCTATTTTAAAAGCAATTCATTACAGGCCCAGCGCGTGACAGAACATGTTCACTTACGGAAACTCAACTGAAATGCAATTTCCTCACAATAATAAAAAAGCAATATCCATATCTCTCATTTCCTCAAGACTTCTCTGGGGGCAGTTTTTTTTTTAGCAATAGCTGCTTCTGTGCCCTCAAAAACTTGATTGTGAACACTGATCTCATGATGATTTTTGCTTCTCTTCATATTGAAAACTTTTTGAAATTTCCCTGAGAAATAATAATAATAATAATAATAATAATAATAATAATAATAAAGAACAAGCCATTAGAACCAATGCCATCAAAGCCAAACTTGAAAAGTCTGCAAGGAAGCAGACGAAACAATAGATCACATCCTCAGCTGCTGCAGGAAGATGGCGCAGATGGTGCAGACAGACTACAAGCAGAGGTATAACACCCTTGCTCAGATGATCCATTGGAACTTTTGCCACAAATACCATCTGCCTGTGACAAAGAACTGGTGGGAACACAAGCCTGAAAAAGTTACAGAAAATGAACACGTCAAACTACTCTGGGACTTCCAAATTCATACTGACAAGAGTTTTGGAGCACAATACTCCTGACCTCATGATCGTGTATTAGTATGGATTGTCGATGTTGCAATCCCAGGTGACAGCAGGATTGAAGAGAAACAACTGGAAAAGCTGACACGATATGTGGTTTAAAGATCAAACTGCAAAGACTCTGGCACAAGCCAGTCAAGGTGGTCCCATTGGAGATAGGCACACTGGGCGCAGTGCCTAAAGACCTTGGCCTGCACTTAAACACAATCAGCACTGACCAAATTACCATATGCCAGCTGCAGAAGGCCACCTTACTGGGATCTGCATACATTATTTGCCGATACATTACATCGTCCTAGACACTTAGAAGTGTCCGAAGTGTGATCCAATACCACAACCAGCAGAGAGATCTTGTTTGCTGTGTACCAATACTGTTTTGTTTCTAATAATAACAATAATAATAATAATAATAATAATACACAATTTTTAAAGTCCCCCTGATCTAACCCATGTTCTTTACTCTCTTGGAGATTCTGGAAACATGGTGGGAACATCTCACCTGCCATTTCCCTGTTTCATTCTCTTGCTGTCTCTTGAGGAGGAAGTCCTCTGCCAGGGCCACAGCTTGGGAACAGGTATCTGGGCCTCCCGCTCGGATCCAGATTTGGAGATCTTGGGGAAGACTGGCCAGGAATTGCTCCAGGATAAGTAGCTCCAAAATCTGCTCCTTGCTGCGTCTCTCCGGCTTCAGCCACCGACGGCAAAGCTCCTGGAGTTGACCATAAACCCTTTGCGGATCCTCAACCTTCTGGCAGAAAAACTCCCGAAAATGCTGGCGCTGCAGCTCCATTCTCAGGGCATCCTCTCGCAAGATGACAGCTTTCACTTTCCTGTAATCTTCCCTGTCTCCGGCTTCCAGGCTCTGAAAGGCTTGCTCTGCTTCTCCGCTCAGTGCCGGCAAAAGCCGGGCCGCCCACTCTTCCTTTGGCCATCGACAGGCTTTGGCCACTTGCTCGAAGGAGGCCAGGAAGGCTTTGGCGTCTTCCCATGGGGCGATCTCTGGCACGGTTGGCGTTTCCCATCTTGTGTGAATGGGTTGCAGTGTCTTCAGGAACTCCTGCCATTGGGCCTCCCAGTGCTGTTGCATCCCTTTGTTTGGGCCTCCTTTGCCCTCTTGCGATGCTCCCCAACTTGACCGTTCAGCCATAGATTCGGGTTGAGCTGCCCTAGCGGTGTTTCCCGCTCTGACCGGTCGTCCTTCTAGGTCCAGCTCTGCATATAAGTGCTCTTTCATTGCTCCGTCTTAATTCTGCCCTACCAAATGTTTACAATTGAAGAATATTGACAACTGAAGAGATAGAGGAATAATTATTTGGCTGTATCTTCCTGCATGGCAGAATGGAGTTGGATTGGATGGTCCGTGTGTTCCCTTCCAACTCTAGTATGCTCCAGTAAGGGAAGCAATCTCAACTTGAGAACCACAGAAAAACCTCCTGCTTCTTTGCTTGACTATTGCGAAGGAAGAAAATATCCAGCTTCTGCTTCCCTGGTTGGTCTTATAGCAGTAAATAGGAGGATTTGGCTAGGGGTGGGGGAAAAAAGACCTTACTCAGGGCACCAGTTGAATAAAAAACTTCTTCCTGAAGAGAAAAAGAACAACACGTTGAAGGAACTTATTATTATTATTATTATTATTATTATTATTATTATTATTCCTATAACTATAACTCCCAGGACTGCATAGTATGCATGGAGCTATGGTATTTAAAGTGGGGTCCAGGAGCATTCATTCCATAGTGTAAATGCCTCAAAAGAAGGGCATGGACCTTGGGAAACTATAGCTCCCAGGTGGACTCCATCACATGGAGCCATGGCATCTAAAGTGAAGTGCAAGGGCATTCATTCCATACTGTAAATACACCAAGAGAAGGGTATGGACCTTGAAAAACTATGACTCCCAGGACTGCATAGCTTGGAAACATGGAATAATAATAATAATAATAATAATAATAATAATTATTATTATTATTATTATTATTCAACAGCCAGCAGAGTGTCTGCTGTGGACTCATCTTGTTTCAAATAATAATAATAATGACATTTTAAATAGGTCCCGACTGTATTTATTTTCCAGTTGTGATGCAACCAGAGAAGGGTATGGACCTTGGGAAACTATAACTCCCAGGAGCGCATAGTATGGAGCTATGGTATTTAAAGTGGGGTCCAAGAGCATTCATTCCATGGTGTAAATGCACCAAGAGAAGGGTATGGACCTTGGGAAACTACAACTCCCAAGACTGCACATAATAATAATAATAATAATAATAATAATAATAATAATAACAACAACAACAACAACAACAACAACAGCAGCAGCAGCAACAACAACAACAACAACCCTTCTCTCCTGGCTTTCCCATGCAACATAAGGCACAGACATATCATAGAAGGAAGGGAAGTGTATATACGATGCAGCATCCAATTAATGCATTTTGGCACCATTTGAACTGCCATGGCTCATTTATACATATAATAAAAGTCAAAATATGTATGTGTAAGTGTGTGGCTGGGATGTCCATTTACAGAGACTAGCTCCTGCCTCCACAAACAGCTCTAGCTCCCGCTACTCAGGAGACAAGGCCCTCCCTCCAATGACATTGCAGGTTATAGCGAGTGCCATGAACATGTCCAAGAGCCCTACCAATGTCCTCCACAAGCACCACACTGCCCACCACCCAAGGGAAGGCTTTCATACGGGGACAATTTCATCCTAGATGTGTTTCCTCCACCACAGATATCCTAGTGTTTCTTACTCTCTCCATTGGTGTGGAATTTGCATGACCCCAATGCCTCTCCCAAAACACTTTCCTGTTCTTTTCTATGGCACACAGGAAACAGAGGAATTGATCAGCAACTGAACATACTAGAGGGGCTTGGGGAGAGATCATCATGAGTTGTAGGTCCCGGGATGTATAGTTCACCTGCAATCTAAGAGCACTCTGAACTCCACCAACGATGGAGCTGGACCAAACTTGGCACACAGAACCCCCATGAACAACACAAAATACTGGAGGTCTGTGGAGGGATTTATAGGAGTTGTAGTTCACCTACATCCAGAGCAAACTATGAGCCCAACCAATGATGGATCTGGACCAAACTTGGCATGCATACCCAATATGCCCAATTTTTAATATTGGTGGGTTTTGAGGGGAATTAGCCTGGACATTAGCCTGGACATTTTGCAGTTGTAGGTACTGGGATTTATAGTTCAACTGCAATCAATCAGAACTCTGAACTCCACCAAAGATAGAATTGGGCCAAACTTGGCACACAGAGCCCCCATAACCAGCAAAAAAAAATACCGGAGGTATTTGGAGGGAATTCACCTTGACTTGGGGGAGTTGTAGTTCACCTACATCCAGAGAGCACTGTGAACCCAAACACCGATGGATCTGGACCAAACTTGACACATATCTGATATGCCGAAATTTGATTGCTGGAGGGGTTTGGGGAAACGGATCTTCCTTTCTGGGAGTTATAGTTCACCCACAACCAGAGAAACTGTGACCTCCACCAAGGATGGACCTGGACTAAACTTGACACACAGAACCCCCATGACTAACTCAACCTACTGGAGGGCTTTGATGGCACTGACTCACCATAGTGGGAGTTGTAGTTTATCCTTCAGCCAGAGAGCACACTGAACCCCACCAATGATGCATCTAGAGCAAACCCGCACAACTAACTTCAACCACTGATAGAGTTTCTCAGTGTTAACCTGGCAAACCCAGAATCTTATGCATTTTGGACAATTAAAAATTGATTGTGTACCTAAGCTACTAGAATCATAAGTTGGAAGAGACCGCATGGGCCATCTAGTCCAACACCTTCAGCCATGCAGGAGAATCACAATCAAAGCACCCCCGACAAATGGCCATCCAGCTTTTGTTTAAAAGCCTCCAAAGAAAGCACTTCCTCCACACTCAGAGGCAGAGAGTTCTACTGTTGAACAGCTCTTCTTACACTCAGGAAGTTCTTCCTAATGTTCAGGTGAAATATCCTTTCCTGTAATTTGAACCAATGGCTCCATTGAGTCCTAGTCTCCAGGGCAGCAGAAAACAAGCCTTCTCCCTCCTCCTTATGACATCCTTTCAAATATTTATACATGGCTCTCATGTCTCCTCTCAACCAGCTCTTCTGCTCAATGCTTTAGAATATTAGGACTTGCTATTTGATGACGTCTTCAGCCTTCTTGGCCAGAGTTCTAGTGCAGTGGTTCTCAACCTGTGGGTCCCCAGATGTTTTGGCCTACAACTCCCAGAAATCCCAGCCAGTTTGCCAGCTGTTAGGATTTCTGGGAACTGAAGGCCAAAACATCTGGGGACCCACAGGTTGAGAACCACTGTGTCTCACCAAACTACAACTTCTATGATTCCATAGTGCTGGTGCAAACCACAAATCCCAGGATTACATATCATTAAGCCATGACCATGAAAGGGATGTCAAAACTGCATCCATTCTATAGTGTTGTACAGGGGTCCTCAAACTTTTTAAACAGAGGGCCAGGTCACAGTCCCTCAAACTGTTGTAGGGCCGAATTATAATTTGAAAATAACATGAATGAATTCCTATGCATACTGCACATATCTTATTTGTAGTGCAAAAAAAAAACCACTTAAAATTCAATAATTAAAATGAAGAACAATTTTAACAAATATAAACTTAGCAGTATTTCACTGGGATGTGTGGGCCTGCGTTTAGCTGATGAGATAGGAGTGTTGTTGTTGTTGTGTTCTTTCAAATAATTTCAGACTTAGGTTGACCCTGAGCAGGGGCTGAATAAATGACTTTGGAGGGCCATATCCGGCCCCCGGGCCTTAATTTGAGGACTCCTGGTGTAGTAGATGCACCCAAAGAGGACCTTCATTGCAAATGCAGTAGCAGGGGTTGGACTAGATGACCTTTTGGGGCCTCCTCCCGATCCAAATAACAGGCATGGGTCAGCTTGGGCCCTCTAGGTGTTTTAGACTTCAACTCCCACCATTCCTAATAGCCTCAGTGTTCGGATCTGTAACTTTAAATTACCTCACAAACAGAAGCATACACTAGGTATGAAACAAAATTCCAACTGCCAGTTTATGTCCCTACTACCTCTTTCATGACAACCCTCGCCCTTGTTTCAAATATACACAGGCCAAGTCTAAGGCATGGCCTAATTTCCTGGCTTTACACAAAACCAGGAAATAAGGTCATGACACTCAGGTCCTTTCCTTTCCCCTCCTCAGCCCCTTAAGCAGCTAGGGCGAAAAGGAAGGGGACTGAGGCTGTTAGGAATGGTGGGAGTTGAAGACCAAAACACCTGGAGGAAGGTCCAAGTTTGCCCAAGCCTATTGTAGAACTTCATGTCGAAAGACATACTAATGTTGCCATCATCCAGGTCATTGCTATGTACTGTTGTCAAAGCTTGACCGCGGAGAAAGCTGATAGGATGCAACTCATTAGAAAAGTGCTGGAGGAAAGAAGGTTGAGAGGGAACACAATAGCCATGTTGTAAATATTTGAAAAGATGTCAGACTGAGAAGGAGAAGGGAGTTGTCTTGTTTTCTGCTGCCCTGGAGACTAGGACACAACGCAGCCACGGAAACAAACTGCAGGAAAAAGTGATTCCATGCAAACATTAGGAAGGACCTCCTGACGCAACGTTTCTCAACCTGGGGGTCGCGAGAGCATGTCAGAGGGTTCACCAGACTATAAAAAACACAGCATTTTCTATTGGTCGTAGGGGTTCTGTGTGGGAAGTTTGGCCCAATTCTATCATTGGTGGGGTTCCAAATGCTCTTTGATTGTAGGCGAACTATAAATCCCAGCAACTACAACCTCCAAATGTTACGGTCTGTTTTCCCCAAACTCCACCAATGTTCACATTTGGCAATATTGAGTATTCGCGCCAAGTTTGGTCCAGATCCATCATTGTTTGAGTCCACAGCACTCTCTGAATGTAGGTGAACTACAACTCCAAAAATTCAAGGTCAATGTCCACCAAACCCTTCCAGTATTTTCTGTTGGTCGTGGGAGTCCTGTGTGCCAAGTTTGGTTCAATTCCATCGTTGGTGGAATTCAGAATGCTCTTTGATTGTAGGTGAACTATAAATCCCAGCAAATACAACTCCAAAATTACAAAATAACCCCCGCCCAAACCCCACCGGTATTCAAATTTGGGTGTATCAGGTATTTTTTTTGCCCAATTTGGTCCAGTGAATGAAAATACATCTTGCATATCAGATATTTATATGACGATTCATAACAGTAGCAAAATTACAGTTATGAAGTCACAATGAAAATAATTTTATGGTTGGGGGTCACCACAACATGGGGAACTATATTAAGGGGTTGCAACATTAGGAAGAGTGAGAATCACTGTCCTGATGGTATAAAACTGTTCAGTAGTGGAATACACTGCCTGGGAGTGTGGTGGAGTCTTCTTTCTTGGAGGCTTTTAAGCAGAGGCTGGATGGCCATCTTTCAGGGGTGATTTGATTGTGTATTCCTGTAGGGCAGAAATGGGGCTGGACTGGATGACCATTAGAGATCCCTTTTCACCACTATGATTATATGGATAGACCAACACAACGATAAATAAACCTCTAGACCATGGCCATATAGCCCGAAAAAACCTACAACAACCCAGTCATTCCGGCCATGAAAGCTTTCGACAGTACAGTGATAAATAAATGGGCCATAAAACAAATCCTTAGAGGTCGAGACGACTGAGACTGCCATACTGCAAAGTCCGGAGCCCCAGGTGGTGCAGTGGGTTAAACCCCTGTGCCGGCAGGACTGAAGACCGACAGGTCACAGGTTCAAATCCGGGGAGAGGTGGATGAGCTCCCTCTATCAGCTCCAGCTCCTCATGCAGGGACATGAGAGAAGCCTCCCACAAGGATGATAAAAACATCAAATCATCCGGGTGTCCCCTGGGCAACGTCCTTGCAGACGGCCAATTCTCTCACACCAGAAGTGACTTGCAGTTTCTCAAGTTGCTCCTGACATGACCAAAAAAAAAACACTGCAAAGTCCTTCCTTCCTTAAGAAATTTCCCAGATTTCCAGATCCAAACTACTGTTTCCAGACAGGACCAAGCTAAGGAATATTTATACAGGCATCCTTCTTTGAACGCTTTTAAACAGTGGCTGGATGGCCATCTGTCAGGGGTGCCTTGAATGCAATTTTCCTGCTTCTTGGCAGGGGGTTGGACTGGATGGCCCATGAGATCTCTTCCAACTCTGTGATTCTAGGAAACAATCAGAGACAGCTAATACCTCCCAACAAAGGATCCCCAGGCAGGAAACAGCCAGTCTTTGAAGCTGCAAGGCCATTCAATGCAAATCAAGCTGGCCAATGACAACATTCACACTTGCCTCAAGCAGACAAGAGTTCTTTCTCCCACCCTGGACATTATTCCACATTAAACCCCACTTGCCTAGTTTCCAACTGACCTCACCACCTCTGAAGATGCCTGCCATAGATGTGGGTGAAACGTCAGGAGAGAATGCTTCTTGAACATGGCCCGGAAATCTCACAGCAATCCAGCAATTCCAGCCATGAAAGCCTTCAACACCATACTGTTTGTAAGTTTGTAAACATTAGTATCAAGTTTTCCATGGCTGTTTCCCACGCCCATAAAAGCACCCAGGCGTTTGTTGATTTGCCATAAAACTATAGCAACAGTCTTCAGTCTAACACACTTTCACTGCCGTGGCTCACTGTTTACATGGGAATGCTGGGAGTTGCATTTTGGGGAGATTGCTCAAGGCCAAATTGATTGAACCACAGCTCTCATGACCCCATAGCATTGGCTCAAAGTGGTGCCAAACTGCATCCCTTCCCCAGCAACTCACCTCCCTGCTGCCTTCCAGCTCCAAAGCTTCTTCCCTTTGCAAAGCCTCTTCTCACTTCCAGGAGGCCGCTCTAGCAACAGCACTCAATGAGCAGGAAGCATTGAGCCGCACATATGCGCCAGAGCGCCTCCTTAGATCAGGACATGATCTGGCAACCAGTGCCAGAAAGCTCTATGGCTCAGCCTAAGTGTCATTTCCATATTAAGACTAAGGGCCCTTCCAAGCAGGCCCTATATCCCAGGATCTCATCCCAGGTTTTCTGTTTATCCCAGATTATCAGGCAATGTGGACTCATATAATCCAGTTTAAAGCAGAAAACATTTTTCTTTCTTTCTTTTTCTTGCATATTTATTTAGGCAGCCACCTCTCCACCAAAGTCAACATCGACACTGGTATACAACTCCGCCTGAGCTCTGTGAGTGCAGCATTTTTCTGAATGAAGCAGAGTGTTTGAGGACCGGGACATCCTTAGGGATACCAAGGTGCTTGTTTATAAAGCTATTGTCCTCCCAACCCTGCTATATGCCTGCGAAACGTGGACTGTCTACAGACGTCACATGCAGCTCCTGGAACGATTCCATCAGCACTGCCTCCGGAAAATCCTGCAAATCTCCTGGGAAGACAAGCAGACAAACATCAGCATGCTGGAAGAAGCAAAGACCACCAGCATTGAAGCAATGGTCCTCCACCAACAACTCCTGGACCGGCCACATTGTCCGGATGCCTGACCACCGTCTCTCAAAACAGTTGCTCTATTCCAAACTCAAGAACAGAAAACAGAATGTTGGAGGACATGAAAAGAGATTTAAAGATGGGCTCAAAGCCAACCTTAAAAACTCTGGCATAGACACTGAGATCTGGGAAGCCCTGGCCCTTGAGCACTCCACTTGGAGGTCAGCTGTGACCAGCAGTGCTGCAGAATTTGAAGAGGCACGAATGGAGGGTGAAAGAGAGAAACGTGCCAAGAGGAAGGTGCGTCAAGCCAACCCTGACCGAGACCACCTTCCACCTGGAAACCAATGCCCTCACTGCGGGAGAAGATGCAGGTCAAGACTAGGGCTCCACAGTCACCTATGGACCCACAAGAATACTGATCCTGAAAGACTATCCTACTCGGCCAATGATGGATCTCCTAAGTAAGTAAGTAAGCATATCAGAAGCAAACCGAGGGGGCCGTTGTAAACACATTTTTAAAAAAACGAATTGGCATTATGCTAAATGTCGTTTGACCAGAAGCTGGCCACTTGGAGTGCCACCTCTGGTATTGCTTGAAAAATGTCCTTCTTGTGCATGTTGCAGGACTGTGGTCTGTGGTTTATGTCGGGCTAAGTCATAGCAAGACCAAGTGTGTGTCTGTTGAAGAAAAACCTTATGGTACTATCTTGTACAGCTGGTAATGTAGGTCAACCAGCAAGATTGGAGCACACCCAATGGTGTATATCTGTATGGGTTTTTTTAGAATGGGTGTGAATGGTGGAGAGTTTTTTCTCTGAGATCTATGCTCAAAGGCTTTGCTATGGGGAGCAGCATGGAGAAGCTACTCTGAAGGAGGCTATGGTGAAATAGCAATTTTGTTGTTGTTCATTTGTTCAGTCATTTCCGACTCTTCGTGACCTCATGGACCAGCCCACGCCAGAGCTCCCTGTCAGCCAAGTAGCAGCAGTGAACTGACCACGAAACAACAGACTGGTTCAAGTTTGGGAAAGGAGTATGGCAGGGCTATACACTCTCCCCGACCTATTCAACTTGTATGCAGAACACATCATGCAATGGTCTTGACAAAACCAAGGCTGGAGTTAAAATTGCTGGAAGAAGCATTAACAACCTTAGATATGCAGATGATACCACTTTGATGTCCAAAATTGCAGAGGAGCTGAGGAGCCTTCTAACCAAGGTGAAAGGAGAAAGTGCAAAAGCTGGGTTGCAGTTAAACATCAAAAAAACCAAGATGATGGCAACCAGACTAATTGATAACTGGCAAATGGAGGGAGAAAACGTGGAGGCAGTGACAGACTTTGTATTTCTAGGCCATATAGTGGATGGCGCTGAGGGGTATTGCAGTCTAAAAACCCCTGAACAGCCACATGATTCCCACATTAGAATGGTTTTTGCACCTTAACAATTGTTCAGGTGAGTTTTCTGACTTCAACATTTATCCCATCATGTTCAGGTCTGTAGCATTCTGGCGAATATATTACCTCACAAACAAAGTGGGAAGGCTTTATTTCTAAAAGTATACTTTGAGGTACGAAAAAAAATCCAACTGACAGTTTATTTCCCTCACGCCTCCTATCCCTCACCGTGGCCCCTCCCCTTCTTTGCTCCAGTTTCCATGGTTTTATTTCTAAAAGCATACTTTGGGGGTACGAAACAAAATTCCAACTGACAGTTTATTTCCTTCATGCCTCCTATCCCTCACCGTGGCCACCCCTTCTTTGCTCCAGTTTCCATGGTTTTATTTCTAAAAGCATTCTTTGGGGGTACAAACAAAATTCCAACTGACAGTTTATTTCCTTCATGCCTCCTATCCCTCACCATGGCCCCTCCACTTCTTTGCTCCATTTTCTATGGTTTTATTTCTAAAATAATAATTTGGGGGTATGAAAAAAAATCCAACAGACAGTTTATTTCCCTCACGCCTCCTATCCCTCACCCTGGCCCCTCCCCTTCATTGCTCCAGTTTCCATGGGAACCCTCTCCCTTGTTTCAAATATACACAGGCCAGGTCTAAGGCTTCACACAAAACCAGAAAGTAAAGTCATGACACATCAAGTGTTTTCATCTGGCCGGCATGAATTCTTTCATGTCTCTTCAAGTATTTCCCCACCCTGAAGCATTTCCCACATTGAGAACACTTATACGGTTTCTCCCTGGTGTGGATTCCTTGGTGGGTCTTGAGCTGGTTACTGCGGCCAAAGCTCTTTCCACACACAGAGCATTTGTGGGGTTTCTCTCCAGTGTGAATCCGCCAGTGGTTCATGAGGTTTCCTTGCTGGTTGAAACGTTTCCCACACTGAGAGCACTGGTAGGGTTTCTCTCCAGTATGAATCCTCTGGTGGATCTTCAGCTCTTTCTCTTGGTTGAAGCATTTTTCGCACTGGGAACATTTATAAGGTTTCACCTTCACCCCAGAGTGAATGCCTTCATGTCTCTTCAAATACTTCCCCAGGCTGAAACTTTTCCCACACTGAAAACATTTGTGTGGTTTACCCCCTGTGTGCGTTCTCTGGTGAATGGTCAAACTCCTTCGCTGACCAAAGCATTTCCCGCACTGGAAACATTTGCAAGGTAGAACTCCAATGTGAGAGCGCTGATGGATCATCAGATTTCTTCTCTGAAGGAAACATTTTCCACACTGAGGGCAACCATACCTTCTCCCTTCACTCTGTATTCCTGGATTTGTCTTCAGCGAGGAAGCAAAGCCCACATTCTTCCCACGCTCAGGAGAACTGTCGGATGTTTCTGCTGCATAATTATTCTGATCTGTGTCCAAATGATCTCCTTCCTGTTCCTCAAAGAATTCAGATTTATTCCCAGAAGTTATTTGATGCTCACTAGAGTATGGATTTTCTTGGCAGGGTTCTTCTTTGCAGTCCTCCAAAGTATGGGCCATATCAAGTCTTCTACCACAGTTCGAGAACACGGGCATTTTATCCCTTGTATGCTCTTTGACAAGATATTCAAGGGCAGGTTTAAGGTTAAGATGCCCACTGCACTCTTTCCATGTATTCTCTGTCCCCATGGGCTGCTCCCACTGTTCTTCTTTGAATTCACATCCTTCATTGTGCATTCCCAGTCTTCCCAGCACATCTCCTTGGCTGGTTTGTTGCAATGTCTTGGGGATGTCCTCTGGCTCGTTTCCTCCCAAGGGAGAATTCTCCATCTTGATCTGGCTTCCACTTTCACCACCTGCAGGGAAAGAAAGAAAGAGGATTCCTAATGAAGTGGTTCCCAAACTGTGTTCTGCTGAAGTGTCAGGATAACCGAATCAGCCTGGGTCTGGTTGCTTCAGTTCTCTGCCATAATAATAATAATAATAATAATAATAATAATAATAATAATAATAATAATAATAATAATAGAACAAGCCATTAGGACAAATGCCATCAAAGCCAGAATTGAAAAGTCGGCGACAGATCCCAAATGTAGACTCTGCAAGGAAGGAGAGGAAACAATAGATCACATCCTCAGCTGCTGCAAGAAGATCATGCAGACAGACTATAAGCAGAGGCATAACACCGTTGCTCAGATGATTCATTGGAACTTGTTGCCACAAATACCATCTGCCTGCGACAAAGAACTGTTGGCATCACAAGCCGGAAAAAGTTACAGAAAATGAACATGAGGAAGAACTTCCTGACTGTGAGAGCCATTCAGCACTGGAACTCTCTGCCCCGGAATGTGGTGGAGGCTCCTTCTTTGGACACTTTTAAGCAGAGGCTGGATGGCCAGGTGTCAGGGGTGATTTGAATGCAATATTCCTGCTTCTTGGCAGGAGGTTGGACTGGATGGCCCATGAGGTCTCTTCCAACTCTTTGATTCTATGAACACGTCAAGAATTCAGACAGACAGAGTTTTGGAGCACAAGACTCCTGACCTCACGGTTGTGTTAAAAAACAAAGTATGGATTGTCTATGTTGCAATCCCAGGTGACAGCAGGATTGAAGAGAAACAACTGGAAAAGCTGACATGATATGAGGATTTAAAGATCAAACTGCAAAGACTCTGACACAAGCCAGTCAAGGTGGTCCCAGTGGTGATCTGCACAATGGGTGCAGTGTCTAAAGACCTTGGCCTGCACTTAAACACAATCAGGCCTAACAAAATTACAATCTGCCAGCTGCAAAAGGCCACCTTACTGGGATCTGCAGACATTATTCGCCGATACATCACACAGTCCTAGTTTTTAACTCTGTGTGGAATATAAATAAGGTAAAGGTTTTCCCCTGACATTAAATCCAGTCGTGTCTGACTCTGGGGGGAAGGTGCTCATCTCCATTTCTAAGCCGAAGAGCCGGCGTTGTCTGTAGACATCTCCATGGTCATGTAGCTGACATGACTGCATGAAGCGCCATTACCTTCCCACTGGAGCGAAGCCTAATGATCTACTCACATTTGCATGTTTACGAACTGCTAGGTTGGCAGAAGCTGGGCTAACAGCAGGAGCTCATGCCGCTCCCCAGATTCAAACCACCAACCTTTTGGTCAACAAGTTCAGCAGCTCAGTGATTTAACCCACTACACAACCGGGGTCTCGTGGAATATAAATAAAGATTATTATTATTATTATTATTATTATTATTATTATTATTATTGTTGTTGTTATCATTATTATTTGAAACACAACAAGATGAGTCCACAGCAGACCAGGTCACTCTGCTGGCTGTTGTATTGGATCACACTTCCCAAGTGTCTAGGACTGTGTTGTGTATTGACGAATAATGTGTGCAGATCCCAGTAAGGTGGCCTTTTGCAGATGGCAGGTGGTAATTTTGTTAGGCCCGATTGTGTTTAAGTGCCGGCCAAGGTCTTTAGACACTGCACCCAGTGTGCCGATCACCACTGGGAGCCCTTTTACTGGCTTGTGCCAGAGTCTTTGCAATTCAATCTTTAAATCCTCATATTGCGCCAGCTTTTCCAGTTGTTTCTCTTCAATCCTGCTGTCACCTGGGATAATAATAATAATAATAATAATAATAATAATAATAATAATAGGCTATGCTACCTCACCCAAAGAATCCGCAACCCTAGGATCGTCTTGCAGAACCTTCCAGAGTACAATCTGTTGGTGTGGATGGATCAGAGGTTGGCTGAAGATGGGCCAAGTTTCCCTGATGTTCATCGATTCCTGTAATAATATAGGAAAAGACAGAAACCCCCAGTTAGATTTTCTTGGAAAAAGTGGTGCATTCAGAAAAAAATCAGTAATTCCAGAATACTGATAAATACCAGCAGAAACACTGTTTGCTGGTAATGCAAAAGAGGGCCTTTTTGGTAGTGGCCCCAAGATCTGGAATTTTTATAATACTAATGAAGATAAAACTCTGAATAAGGAACTGGAAGAGACTAGAAGATTGTGAGATAATACTGGAATAAGATATGGTAGTGGATATATTGTTTGGTGACAATGTAACTCCTCCTATTACTATAGTACAGGCATGGGCAAACTTTGGCCCTCCGGATGTTTTGGACTTGGACTCCCACAATTCCTCACAGCCTCAGGCCCTTTCCTTTCCCCCTTCAGCCGCTGTGGTGACCCCCCAACCATAACATTATTTTCGTTGCTACTTCAGAACTATAATTTTGCTACTGTTATGAATAGTAATTTAAATATCTGATATGGAGGAAGTATTTTCATTCACTGGACCAAATTGGGCAAAAAGACCCAATACACCCAAATTTGAATACTTGTCATTTGGGAGTTGTGGTTGCTGGGATTTATAGTTCACCTACAATCAAAGAGCATTCTGAACTCCACCAATTATGGAATTGAAACAAACTTGGCTCACAAAACTCCCATGACTGACAGAAAATACTGGAAGGGTTTGGTGGGCATTGACCGTGAGTTTGGGAGTTGTAGTTCACCTACATCCAGAGAGCACTGTGAACTCAAACAATGATGGTTCTGGACCAAACTTGGAATAAATACTCAATATGCCCAAACGTGAACACTGGTGGAGTTTGGGGAAAATAGACCTTGACATTTGGGAGTTGTAGTCTCTGGGATTTATAGTTCACCTACAATCAAAGAGCATTCGGAACCCCACCAACAATAGAATTGGGCCAAACTTCCCACACAGAACCCACATGACCAACAGAAAATACAGTGTTTTCTGATGGTCTTTGGCAACCCCTCCGACAGCCCCCTCGTGACCCACCTTAGAGGTCCTGACCCCCAGGTTGAGAAACGATGTCCTACAGACTGGGATGAAGTCCTTACCTGCTGTTTCCGTGTTTCATCCTCTTGTCGGCTCATCATGAAATCCTCCACTAAGGCCACAGCCTGGGAACAGGTCTCTGGCCCTGCGCCTCGGAGCCAGCCTTGCATGTTTTGGGGAAGACTGGCCAGGAATTGCTCCAGGACCAGCAGCTCCAGGATCTGCTCCTTGCTGCGTCTCTCCGGCTTCAGCCACCGACTGCAAAGCTCCTGAACATGGCTGTAAACCCTTCGCGGATCCTCCACCTCTTGGCAGCAGAACTGCCGAAAATGCTGGCGCTGGGCCTCTGTTTTCAGGGCATCCGCCCGCAAAATGGCCACCTTTACTTTCCTGTAATCCTTCCTGTCGAGGGCTTCCAGGCTCTGAAAGGCTTGCTCTGCTTCTCCGCTCAATGCGGGCAACAGCCGGGCAACCCACTCTTCCTTTGGCCACCGACAGGCTTTGGCCACTTGCTCAAAGGAGGCCAGGAAGGCCTTGGCATCTTCCCACGGAACGACCTCCTCCAATGTCTCTGGATCCCCCCTTTCTGTGTGATGGGGCCACATCTTGTTTAGGAACTCCTGCCCTTGGGTTTCCCAATGTTGTTGTATTCCTCGAGGGGGTTGGTCCTCCTGCGATACTTCCCCTTGGAGTTGTCCCATCCTATATCCCCTGTGAATCACACTGCTAGCTCTTCCGTAATTATCTTCTTGTCCAACTTCAGGTTCAGACTTTGGAGACTGTTGTACCTTCATCCCTTTCTCTAGACTCCCACAAATCTAACAGGATTCAAGGGGAAAATATAGTAAAAAAAATGGGTTGTTGTAAGTTTTTTGGGGTATATGGACATGTTTGGAGTATATGGACATGGAGACTAGGTCACGGAACAATGGCTTCAAACTACAAGAAAGGAAATTCCATCTGAACATTAGGAAGAACTTCCTGACTGTGAAAGCTGTTCAGCAGTGGAACTCTCTGCCTGAAGTGTGGTGGAGGCTCCTTCTTTGGAGGCTTTTAAAAAGAGGCTGGATGGCCATTTGTTGGGGGTGCTTTGAATGCAATATTCCTGCTTCTTGACAGGGGGTTGGACTGGATGACTCATGAGGTCTCTTCCAACTCTATGATTCTATGATTCTAGAAGCATTCTCTCCTGACATTTTGCCTGCATCTATGGCAAGCATCCTCAGAGGTTGTGAGGTCCTCACAACCGAGGATGCCCGAAAATCCTACAACAACCCAGTGATACCAGCCATGGAAGCCTTCAACAATACATAGTAAAAATTACAATATATTTCCAAGAGTGTGGAATTTTATTTTTGTAATTAGATTTACAGGAGATTGTGTTATTCGTCAATAGCTATACATTAATATTGAGAAGGATGTATTGTCGAAGGCTTTCATGGCCGGAATCACTGGGTTGTTGTTGGTTTTTTCGGGCTATATGGCCATGGTCTAGAGGCATTCTCTCCTGACGTTTCGCCTGCATCTATGGCAAGCATCCTCAGAGGTAGTGAGGTCTGTTCCAACAGGTTGGATCTGCACTGCCAAATAATCCAGTTTGAAATGCATCAAACTGCATTATATGGATCTTCTAAACCAGCCATAAGCAAACTTGTCTGCTTGAGGCAAGTGTGAATGTTGCACTTGGCCACCTTGATTAGCACTGAATGGCCTTACAGCTTCAAAGCCTGACTGCTTCCTGACTGGGAGAATCCTTTCTTGGGAAGTTGTTAGATGGCTCTGTCTTATCTTTGTTTCTCTTTTCAGAGGTTAAAGTTGGAGAAACAGAATAGAATCCTGTTCATTCCACATGTTCCTGAACCATGTTTAAAGACAAGATTAAGGCACACATATAGCATTATTGTTGTTGTTGCCTTTTTGTCTCCACAAAGGAGACTCATGGCAGCTTTCATCAGATCACTGGTTCTTTTCTCCAATCTCTTGGGCCATGAGACCTACCCAGGCAGACTTAAATCATGAATTTTAAATGTGTGTCCTGTGTTTAATCTCTGTTTTGTTTATTTTAATACGTATTTTATAGAGATCCGTTTTGGTGTGTAGCTTTTATAATGTATTCGCGGTGTTTCTGAAGTGTTTATGTGTTTTTATTGTTCTGTAACCCATGTTGAGCCACGAGGAGACGCCAGTAAGAAATAAAATTATTATTATTATTATTTGAAACACAACAATATGAGTCCACAGCAGTCACTCTGCTGGCTGTTGTATTGAATCACATGTCGGACACTTCCCAAGTGTCTAGGACTGTGTGATGTATCAGTGAATAATGCGTGCAGATCCCAGTAAAGTGGCCTTCTGCAGCTGGAAGATGGTAATTTTGTCAGCACCAATTGTTTTTAAGTGCAGGCCAAGGTCTTTAGGCACTGCACCCAGTGTGCCGATCACGACTGGGACCACCTTGACTGGCTTGTGCTGAATGAGCTTCATGTATTCCAAGTAGACTGGAATGTACTTAGTCCTAATCTTTTTTTATATACTGGTTTTAAACCACTTCATTGGATGTGTTGCAGTAGCAGATTCCCAGATTAGTTTAGTGTTTACACCTTATTTTATTTTTCTGGTTATTTAATATTTAATGTTTATTTTACTTAAGTGATATTTGTCTTGACTGTTCTAATGTAGCACAAATCCTATGTAAAATCATTCTACGTATTTTTGATATTAATATTGAAATCTGAAATATATACAGAAAGTCTTTACTTTCTGATTCACTGCTCTGGTCAACTGCTGGTTAAAAACATAGTATACTATTTCATAACATAACCCAGCCCACCATATAAAATATATTTTCATGTATAAAATTTCAAAGAAGGTGCAAATAGTAGGAACCAGCCCCAATATGCTGAGTTATGGAGGTCTTTGCAGTTTGATCTTTTGTTGTTGTTGTTGTTGTTGTTGTTGTTATGAGACAGAAGACTACACACAAAGGCTGAAATTGTACACTGTAGCATTAATCTCAGTATACCATATTTTCTAGTCTTTAGGCACATCTACATTCTAGAATTAAATTATTTTGGTACCACTTTAACTGCCAAGACAAAATGCAAAGTTGCAATTTGGTGAGGCACCAACAATCTGGTAAAGAAGGGTAAAAGGACCTTGTAAAACTACAGCTCCCAGGATTCCACTGCATTGAGGCATGGCAACTAAAGTGGTATCAAACTGCGTTAAAACTACAGTGTGGACGCACTCAGAGCAGGGTGAATATCCCACCAAAGTACAACCCCCAGGGTTCCATAGCAATGAGACAAAGTGGTGCTAAACTGCATTAACTCTGCAGTGTAGATGCATCCATAGAAAACAATAAATACAGTTCCAAAGCATACCTGCAGAGAGGAAGAAGCAGCTATTATTGAGCTTCAAACGAGAAGGGGGCGAGCCAGCATTCCTGGGCTCTCCCAAATCCTGGATGGATGAATGGATGGGTGGGAGATGGAGGAAGCCCTTTTCTCTCCTGCAGGTTCCCTTTCCCTCCTTGTTTCTACTTCCTTCTCTTGGGAAGTTCAGCAGAGCTGCAGTAGCAGCAGAGAGGTTTCCCACGCGCGCCCTCTGCAGGCCGCCGCCGCTATAGCACCTCCACTGAAAGTTAAGGTAAGAGGCAAATAAATCCCAGCATAGGGAAGCTGATGAGAAAACACAACATACAAACAATCTACAGACCCACCAAGAAAATCCAACAAATGCTACGTTCAGCAAAGGACAAGAGGGATCCTCTCACCTCTGCAGGAGTCTACCGTGTACCATGCAGCTGTGGACAAGTCTACATAGGGACCACCCAACGCAGCATTGCCCAAACACGAATCAAGGAACATGAAAGGCACTGCAGACTACTTCAACCAGAGAAGTCAGCCATAGCAGAGCACCTGATGAACCAACCTGGACACCGCATATTATTTGAGAACACAGAAATGCTGGACCACACCAACAACCACCATGTCAGACTACACAGAGAAGCCATTGAAATCCACAAGCATGTGGACAATTTCAACAGAAAGGAAGAGACCATGAAAATGAACAAAATCTGGCTACCAGTATTAAAAAAACTCTAAAATTACAACAGCAAAACAGCAGAGGAAACAACCAGGCACATCTTAACACCTCTCAACAAAAGATTTTCCCAGGCTCAGCCAGGCCTTCAAATGCTAATGAAGGTGGTCAGTTGAAACATTCACACCTAGCTCCAGCAGATAAGAGCTCTTTGCCCCACCCCAGCCATTCCACAGATATATAAACCCATTGTCCTAATTCCAACAGACCTCACTACCTCTGAGGATGCTTGCCATAGATGCAGGCGAAACGTCAGGATAAATGCCTCTAGAACATGGCCCTATAGCCCGAAAAAACCCACAAGAACCTAGTGATTCCAGCCATGAAAGCCTTCGAAAATATATTGGTGTTGTTCCTTCGTTCAGTCGTCTCCGACTCTTCGTGACCTCATGGACCAGCCCACGCCAGAGCTCCCTGTCGGCCGTTACCACCCCCCAGCTCCCTCAAGGTCAGTCCAGTCACTTCAAGGATGCCATCCATCCATCTTGCCCTTGGTCGGCCCCTCTTCCTTTTTCCTTCCATTTCCCCAGCATAATTGTCTTCTCTAGGTTTTGCTGTCTCCTCATGATGTCCAAAGTACTTCAACTTTGTCTCTAGTATCTTTCCCTCCAGTGAGCAGTCGGGCTTTATTTCCTGGAGGATGGACTGGTTGGATCTTCTCGCAGTCCAAGGCACTCTCAGCACTTTCCTCCAACACCACAGCTCAAAAGCATCTCTCTTCCTTCGCTCGGCCTTCCCTAAGGTCCAGCTCTCACATCCGTAGGTGACTACAGGGAATACCATGGCTTTGACTAGGCGGATCTTTGTTGCCATTCTGATGTCTCTACTCTTTACTATTTTATCGAGATTGGACATTGCTCTCCTCCCAAGAAGGCCTTCGACAATACAAATCCCTTATTTATGTTATAATATCCACTTTGTATTTGGTGGGTTTCGGTTCTAGGATCCCCCACCCACCACACTGGATACAAAATACCATTAGAATCATAGTGTCCATCTAGTACAACCCTTTTCTGCCATGCAAGAAAACAATCAAAGCACTCCCGACAGATGGCCATCCAGCAACTGCTTAAAAACTGCCACATTCCTAGGCATGTTTCCTAATGGGAGTTCAAGTACAGTACATCTGTCAGACTACAGCACAGCTTTCCAAACTATGTGTCGTAGCATGTTAGCGTGTCAGCTACAGAGTGTATGTAGGTGTCGTGCAAACAACGAGATATGACAAAAATCTTGGGATTATATCTTATTACCTTACAATATAAATGAATGCTGGCTGTTGTATTGGATCCCACGTCGGACACTTCCCAAGTGTGATGTATCGGCGAATAATGCGTGCAGATCCCAGTAAGGTGGCCTTCTGCAACTGGCAGATGGGAATTTTGTCAGCGCCAATTGTGTTTAAGTGCAGGACAAGGTCTTTAGGTACTGCACCCAGTGTGCCGATCACCACTGGGACCACCTTGACTGGCTTGTGCCAGAGTCTTTGCAGTTCGATATTTAAATCCTCATATTATGTCAGCTTTTCTAGTTGTTTCTCTGCAATCCTGCTGTCACCTGGGATTGCAACACCGACAATCCATACTTTGTTTTTTAACACAATCGTGAGGTCAGGAGTATTGTGCTCCAAAACTGTCAGTCTGAATTCAGAAGTCCCAGAGTAGCTTGACGTGTTCATAGAATCATAGAATCAAAGAGTTGGAAAAGACCTCATGGGCCATCCAGTCCAACCCCCTGCCAAGAAGCAGGAATATTGCATTCAAATCACCCCTGACAGATGGCCATCCAGCCTCTGCTTAAAAGCGTCCAAAGAAGGAGCCTCCGCCACACTCTGGGGCAGAGAGTTCCACTGCTGAATGGCTCTCACAGTCAGGAAGTTCTTCCTCAAGTCCCAGAGGAGTTTGGCGTGCTCATTCTCTGCAACTTTTTCCAGTTTGTGATCCCACCAGTTCTTTGTCACAGGCAGATGGTATTTGTGGCACAAGTTCCAATGAATCATCTGAGCAATGGTGTTGTGCCTCTGCTTGTAGTCTGTCTTTGTGATCTTCTTGCAGCAGCTGAGGATGTGATTCATTGTTTCATCTGCTTCCTTATTATTATTGTTGTTGTTGTTGTTATTGACACAAAAGCACAGTATGTCACAGCAAACGAGATCTATATGCTGGATTTCGTATCACAAAATCACAAGTCGAACACTTCCCAAGCGTCTAGGACTGTGTGATGTATTTTTGAATGATGTGCGCAGATCCAAGTAAGGTGGCCTTTTGCAGTTGACAGATCGTGATTTTGTCGGTTTATTGTTTCCAAATGCCGGCTGAGATTTTTTGGCACGGCACACAGTGTGCCAATGACCACTGGGACCACCTGTACTCGTTTATGCCAGAGCCTTTGCAGTTTGATTTTGAGGTCTTGTTGTTGCTGTTGTTATTATTATTATTACATTTATTCTATGTGCCCATATCTCTTATAAGAAGTTGGCTTTGTTGGAAACAGCAACCTTCTTCAAGCCTCCATTAGTTGTTATGTATATAATTCAGAATGCTTACTATATTGTATATGTGTGTATTGGTATGCAGTTTTCCTTAACTCTATGTTATGGGAAGGACTGCAGACCATGTGACCAGATCTGAGACTGTTCAGATCTCAGGTCTCTTTAGAAGCAGTCTGCTATACAGATGCCGGGAGAAACGGAGTGCTTTAGAGGCCCCTCTATTCGACTCTCAGAACGGAGAGATGCTTTAGACTTTGGACTGTTGATTATAAGAATGATGTCCTGTGTTAGAACATGCAAACACATAGGGGAGAAACAAGTATGCAAAAACATATATTTTATTTTTGTTTTATTTTTGTTTAAAACAGGCAAATAAGATTATAAATCTTTGCAAAAAAGAATCCTTCATTGGGAAGGGAACAATAAATACCCCAAATATACAACAGAAATATTACAGTAAGCACCTCACTTTCCCAGGACGTAGAGATGAAGCACGTCAGTGAATGTGGGAAGAAAACAGTGAATAACAAAACTATACATTTTTTTAAACCGAGAGAACAGCTCTCTAGGAATCCCTAGACAAGGTATGGGCAAACTTGGGCCCTCCGGGTGTTTTGGATTTCAGTTCCCATAATTCCTAACAGACTCAGGCCCCTTCCTCCCCCCCCTCAGCTGCTTAAAAGGAAAGGGCCTGAGGCTGTTAGGAATTGTGGGAGTTGGAGTCCAAAACACCTGGAGGGCCAAAGTTTGCCCATGCCTGATCTACACTGCTTGAACTGTCATGGCCCAAGGCTATGGAATCCTGAGCAGATAAGGCTAAACAGGCTGTTAAAACTATAGCCATGACAGAGAGAGTGGTATCAAACTGCATTATATCTCCAGGATTAGCCAAACTGCAGAATTATAGCAGCCTGATACTATTTCTGCTGCCATGGTTGTACCTCTTGACATCTTTGCATTTGTAGTTTGGTGTGGCCTCAGAGCTCCAAAGCCAACCTTAAACACTGTGGCATAGACACAAGAACTGGGAAGCCCTGGAGGTCAGCTGTGACCAGCAGTGCTGCAGAATCTGAAGAGGCACGAATTGAGGGGGAAAGGAGAAGCATGCCAAGAGGAAGGTGTGTCAAGTCAACCCTGACCATCTGGAAACCAATGTTCTCACTGCAGGAGAACACATGGATCAAGAATAGGACTCCGCAGCCACCTACAGACCCACTGCCAAGACACTACACTTGGAGGAGCCATCATCCTTGGGCAATCAAGAATCGCCTAAGTAAGTAAGATACACCACAAACCGGAGGGTTCTGCAGTATGGAGTCATAATTCTGCAGTGTTGATGCACTGGGAACAAAAAGGCTTTCTAGAGAAGGTGGTTGCCGAATCCTCAGGGCTGAATTTCTCAGTATGGATCATGCTGGATCACTGTATATTTCTGAATTTAAAAATCGACAGCGTATTTGACTTTCACAGGGTATTTCTCCAATGGGTTGCCTGGTGTTTGAGCAACACCGCTCTCTGAGAAAAGTTTTTCCCACAGTCGAGGCACGGGTACGGTTTCTCTCCCGTATGGATCCTTTGGTGCCCCTTTAAGTGTTCTCTCCGGCCGAAGCTTTTCCCGCAGTCGGGGCATTCGAAAGGTTTCTCTCCGGTGTGGATTCTTCTGTGCCTCTTCAAATCCCCGCACTGATGGAAGCGTTTCTGGCAATGGGGGCATTGGTACGGCCGCTCGCCGGAATGGATCCGCAGATGCTTCTGCAGGAGTTCCTTCCGACTAAAGCATTTCTCACACTGAGCACACTGGAACGGTTTCTCGGCAGTGTGGGTTCTCTGGTGTCTTTTGAGGTCTCCCCTCTGGCTGAAACACTTCTCACACTGGGAGCATTTGTGGGGTTTCTCTCCGGTGTGAACTCTTCGATGCCTGGTTAAGACTTCTTTAGAAGCAAAGCGTTTCCCACACTCATGGCACGCGTAGCGTTTCTCGCCGGTATGAAGCTGTTGGTGATTTATCCAACGGTCTTTCTTACTAAAGCTCTTCCCACATCGAGAACAATCGTATATTCTCCTTTGACCGAAAATCCCTTCGTTTTGCTTTGTATAACGAACACTCCCCCCAAACACAGGAAAGTAATTCAGTTCCATTTCTGTATGGTTACTCGGTTCCATTTCTGTATAGTTACTCGGTTCCATTTCTGTATGGTTACTCGGTTCCGTTTCTGGATAGTTACTCGGTTCCGTTTCTGGATAGTTACTCGGTTCCGTTTCTCTATAGTTACTCGGTTCCGTTTCTGTATAGTTACTCGGTTCCGTTTCTGAATAGTTACTCGGTTCCATTTCTAGACGGTTACTCCGATATGTGTTCGAATAATCTCCTTTTCTATGCTCCAACAATTCAGATTGATGTTGTTCTGCTAACTTTCTCTGATGTTTCCCAAACCATGAATTTTGTGGGAAGGTCTCTTCTGACCTGGGATGTTCCTCATGGTCCTGCTTGGTAGAAAACACGTTACATTTTGATGTATAGCTATAGTTTCTCCTCTGGGAGGGGATTTTATCCCATCTGTAAACTTTGGAAGGATGACTAGCTGCAGCTATAAGATCTGGAGTCAGCCCACGGCATCCCTCAGTCCCCAGTTCTTCATCAGATCTGAATCCTTCTTGGACTATCTTTGTTGTCTCGATCACATTCCCTTGGCTGCCCTTTGAGACTGTTGTGGCATTATCTACTGGCTCATTTTCCTCAGTTAGAACATCCTCCGTCTTGACGCAACCACTTTTCCCTGTAAAGATAGAGAAAAGAAATTGGTTTATGTTTATGTTATGATTTTTATAGTTTTAAATTGTTTTTATATGAATTTTATAATGTGATTTAACCTGAGGCATCCCTAGAAGTCGTGAGGTCTGTTGGAAACTAGGCAAGTGGGGTTTATATATCTGTGGAATAATGTGCAGGGTGGAAGAAAGAACTCTTGTCTGCTTGGGGCGAGTGTGAATGTTGCAATTGGCCACCTTGATTGGCATTGAATGGCTTTGCAGCTTCAAACCCTGGCTGCTTCCTTCCAAAGGGAATCCTTTGTTAGGGGTGTTAGTTGGCCCTGATTGATTCATGTCTGGAATTTCCCTGCTTTTTGATTGTTGCTCTTTATTTACTGTCCTGATTTTAGTGTTTTTTAATCAATAAAAAGGAAGGAAGACAGATGCTTTTGAACTGTGGTGCTAGAGCAAAATTCTGTGAATGCCTTGGACCGCAAGACGATCAAACCAGTCCAAACTCCAGGAAATAAAGCCAGATTGCTCACTGGAGGGAAGGAAATTAGAGGCAAAGATGAAGTACTTTGGCCACATAATGAGAATAAAGCTTGGAGAAGATAATGATGCTGGGGGAAATGGAAGGAAAAAGGAAGAGGGGCCGACCAAGGGCAAGGTGGATGGATGGTATCCTTGAAGTGACTTGCTTGACCTTGAAGGAGCTGGGGGTGGCCATGGCCAAAAGGGAGCTCTGCCATGGGCTGGTCCAGGAGGTCATGAAGAGTCGGAAGCAACTGAACGAATAAACAACAACAACTCATGTTTATCCATGGATAAGTTGACACAGTTGATTTCTTGATCAAAATATGTGATCTCTCACCATCCAATTATCATAGAATCATAGAGTTGGAAGAGACCTCATGGGCCATCCAGTCCAACCCCCTGCCAAGTAGCAGGAAAATCACATTCAAAGTACCCCCAACAGATGGCCATCCATCCTCTGCTTAAAAGACTCCAAAGAAGGATCCTCCACCATACTCCAGGACAGAGAGTTCCACTGCTGAACAGCTCTCACAGTTAATAAATTCTTCCTAATGTTCAGGTGGAATCTCCTTTCCTGAAGTTTGAAGCCATTATTCCGTGTCCTAGTCTCCAGGGAAGCAGAAAACAAGCTTGCACCCTCCTCCTTATGGTTGAATAAGCCTAGTTGGGACTAATGAACCGGGTGCCAGACTAATCTTTGGAGGAAAATAGTTTCATAGTCTAAAAACAGCGACCAAGAAGACACTTCCTTGTGCTCACTAGCTGCGTCTGTGATAGTAGCAGAACTGACAGGAAAACCCTTGCCTGAAGATCATAAGAATTGGGCAGATCCATATAAAATTTTCTACAATATTACAAATCTTCCCTTTTATCTGTTTCTGTCCTGTTTAAATTCAAAAACACTCGGGGGGGATTCAACTATTCGTTATGCGTTAGCTGGTTGAATCAGAAGGAGTTTTGTGAGGCTTTTAATCCAAGTTCAGTATTCCCAGATCCAAAATTATCCATGTGGGTGGCTGAGATAGTGACACTCGAAGGCATGCATGCACAAAAACACATTACCTATCAACATCTTCCAATTCTACAATATTGGATCAGTTAACATTCACAGGATGCACAGGACTGACCTGTGCAGAAAGGCTCCTCACCTAAAGTGTTTATTTCTGCGTCTTCCTCTTGCAAGACTCGCCAGACCATGGTCTCTTGGCCTGGCTGCGTCAGGCTCCGTTTGACTACTTGCAAAGACAAGCTGGTTTCCCAGAGGTTTCCTGGTCCCTGCAAAGAGAAAGAACAGTGACTCTGTCCCATCAGATGTTCTTCTGGAAGGAGGCACATCCAAGCAAAAACATCCTGTTTTCACTCCAGATGCAGAGCCGGCCCTAGGTAATTTTCAATGGTAAGCAAATAGTATTTTGGCATCCCCCCCCCAACCAATCATTGATATATATTTTCTGTTCGTGGGAGTTCTGTGTGCCATATTTGGTTCAATTCCATCATTGGTGGAGTTCAGAATGCTCTTTGATTGTAGGTGAACTATACATCCCAGTAACTACACTTGCCGCACTTGCTCCCTTGCCTGGCCCGCTTTGGGTCCGGAGGCATGCCTGAAGACCCCGGCATGTGCACCAAAAGTCACCTCTTCTCCTGACTTTCTCCTCAGCCATTGGGACCAAAAGAGAGAGAGAGAGAGAGAGAGAGAGAGGTGGAGATGCCCACCTTTCCTGAAGGTAGGCGCAAAAACAAAGGAGGGAGCGGAGGTGGGAGATACCTCCAGCCGGAGGGGCTCTCTCTCTCTCTCTCTCTCTTGGTCCCAATGGCTGAAGAGAAAGTCAGGAGAAGAGGCGACTTTTGGTGCACACGCTGGGGTCTTCAGACACGCCTCCGGACCCGAAGCGGGCCAGGCGCAGCGGCTCCGCCCCTTGGCCACGAGAGGGGCTAGGCGAGGCTCAAGGGCCCGGCCCCTTTGGGAAGAGGATCGCCCGGCAGCGAGGCAAGAAAGCCGAGGCTCCCCCTGGACTGCTAGGGCTGTTGTGAGCTGAGGGGGCGCTCCTCAAATGGCGGTCAAGGGACATTTACAGAGGAGCCTCTGCGTCCCTGGCAAAAAAAGTGTTCTGCGACCGCTTACTTCGCGTAATGAATGAGCCGCCCCTGTCCAGATGGATAAATCTTTTGTGAAGCCATAGGAGCACCTTGTCACATTGAGGAGGTGTCTGAACTACTGAAAAGAGGAGCATAATTCCCCCCCATGTATACATCTCTTAAAAACTGATGTGTCATATAATTGCTTATACACACCCAAATACATACCATATATACTTGAACATAAGCCAAGTTTTTCAGCCCTTTTATGGCTTACAAGGGGACAAGCCCAAAAATACAGATTAAAACACACACAATAAAATAAAATGAAACAAAATAAAATCGACAACAGCATCAGAAAAACATTACAATCACAGTACACATTTTAAAAACAGTATAATGGCTGAAAGAGTGCGGAGGGTCAGGAAATGTGCAATCATTCCTAGATAGAGCCCAGGAAAAGAGCCCAGATGAAGTTCAATTCAGTTAAGATCACAGCTGAAAGGGTAACATCCATATGCATTTATGAGAGCAGAGCCTCCCCACATAGAATCATAGAATCAAAGAGTTGGAAGAGACCTCATGGGCCATCCAGTCCAAACCCCGTGCCAAGAAGCAGGAATATTGCATTCAAATCACCCCTGACAGATGGCCATCCAGCCTCTGTTCAAAAGCTTCCAAAGAAGGAACCTCCACCACACTCCGGGGCAGAGAGTTCCGCTGCTGAACGGCTCTCAGAGTCAGGAAGTTCTTCCTCATGTTCAGATGGAATCTCCTCTCTTGTAGTTTGAAGCCATTGTTCCGCGTCCTAGTCTCCAGGGAAGCAGAAAAGAAGCTTTCTCCCTCCTCCCTGTGGCTTCCTCTCACATATTAATACATGGCTATCATATCTCCTCTCAGCCTTCTCTTCTTCAGGCTAAACATGCCCAGCTCCTTAAGCCGCTCCTCATAGGGTTTGTTCTCCAGACCCTTTATCATTTTAGTCGCCCTCCTCTGGACACTTTCCAGCTTGTCAATATCTCTCTTGAATTGTGCCCAGAATTGGACACAATATTCCAGGTGCGGTCTAACCAGAGCAGAATAGAGGGGTAGCATTACTTCCCTAGATCTAGATACTATGCTCCTCTCGATGCAGGCCAAAATCCCATTGGCTTTTTTTGCCGCCACAGCACATTGTTGGCTTATGTTTAACTTGTTGTCCACGAGGACTCCAAGATCTTTTTCACACGTACTGCTCTTGAGCCAGGCATCGTCCCACATTCTGTATCTTTGCATTTCGTTTGCATTCTGTATCTTTGCATGATCTTAAAGTACGTACTGGTTCGTAGGGGAAGATGCGATCTTGAAGTCAGGTAGGTCCTGAACTGTTTGATTATTATTACATTTATTATTTTACTCTATCATTACTGTTATTATTACATTTATTATTTTACTCTATTGTTATTGGAAGGATACATAAGCACATTTACATTGAAGAAAGTCAGAATAATGGTTTAATCAGAGTTGGACAGTCTTATCTTAAATTACAGTTTTATGTAAATATTCAAAAACATTTAATCTACTGATGTCTCAGTTAATGTAATTTTATTGGTATCTATTTTTATTTTTGAAATGTACCAGTAGCTGCTGCATTTCCCACCCTCGGCTTATGCTCGAGTCAATATGTTTTCCCAGTTTTTTGTGACAAAATTAGGTGCCTCATCTTATATTCAGGTAAGTTTATACTTGAGTATATATGGAATGTCTCTCTTTCTTGTGCTCTCTCTCTCTCTACATACACACACACACACACAGTGTTCCCTCACTTATCACACGGATGTTACTTCCAGGACCACCCGCGAAAAGTGAAAATCCGCGAAGTAGGGACGCTATAAATGTATATCGAGTTCTGAGGGTGAGGCAGAATCGAGGATTTGCTTTGCAGTCTGTTTTTGGAGCTCAGCCTGTGATTGTGTTCCAGGATGTGGGTGCCTTGGACATGGGGAGTGATGTCAATGGGTTTCAAGATGGCAATGGTTTGGTCAGTGATATTGATGCAGAGAATGACCAGGAGATCCCTGTTCAAAGTTTAGTTTCCCATGAGAATGTCCCTGAGGAGTGTGGGGATGATGGTGTGCTTTCTGAATTGTTACCAGAGAGTTCCCATGATAGGGAACATGAAAACAGCACGGTACCTGGCCCAGCTGCAGAAATCAATGAGCAAATAGATAATGAGCAAATAGATAGATGTGAGGAGATTCGTCAAAACAGGAGAGCCAAACAGTGGCTTCGGCGGTCTGCCAGGCTCAGAGGAAAAAAGATAAGAAATTCTCAGTTAAAATGAAACCAACTTAGCTAACGAGGAGATAAAAGTCCCAAGTACAGGATATGTAGTCAGATGAAGCATCGTTTGGAATCAAGTCAAGTTCTCGTTCTTGTTCATGGAAGTTTTGCTTGGAAAATTCATGTTTTAAGTGCCTTTGTTTCATGGTTTTGATTCTTGGATTTCATGCTACTATATTCATGCCTTGGGTTCATGTTTCCTGATTTTTTGCATTATCTTTGGGAAGTTTTGACTTCGTTTTTATGGACTTTGCTGAACGATTCCCCTGGTCTACTTTGTTCCTGCTTATCTTCCTACCTAATTGAATTTACCTATTTCTTTAAAGTGTTTTTTACCTTAATGCTTTTTAATTACCTTCAATAAAAGGATTGTTTTCCATCCAATGGTGTGGTGTTTAAAGTCAGAGGGCTTTTCCTGTCCTGGAGTGCAACATCTCTCTTGATTGGCTGCCTCTCTCCCCAGGGGGAGGGTGAAAACCCCCTTCCACACTCCATCATTGCCAGGAGGTGGAATTGGAATGCCTCCCATTCATAAACTGGGAGGCAAAAACCCGCGAAACTGCGAGTCCACGAAAAGTGATCCGTGAAGTAGAGAGGGCACACTATATTCTGTGGGTGGTACTGAAATTAGCGTGTGTCTTACAATCAGTGGTGTCTTCAATGGTGTCAATCAATGGAATCCAAGAAAAATAGTATATACAACTTTCCAGGAAGTCACTTACCTCTCTTAGGCTAGTTTGACCCATCTGTTGCTCTTCAGCCAGAAATGCTGAATTACAATGACTTGGCCATTTGGTTCCACAGCCTGCAAGGCACAGAAGAAGAGATTTTAGAAGGAAAAAAAATCCATGTTTATATTCCTAGAGAAATCAGAATCAAAAGTAAACAGACCAAGGCCAATAATGCCTCGACTGCCACTCTTTGGGAAAAGGCAGAAGACAAATAAAATTATTGAATAGGTTTCTTATCTTTTAAAAATAATTTTAGATATATCTGGGAGCCAGCAATGTGTACTGGTTTGACTTTTGAACTGCAACTCCAGCAAACAGGGTTCAAATCCCTGTTCAAACATGGAAATCTCCAATTTTATATGCTGGTGTATTACGACTATGTTAAGTCTGTATTGTCAAAGGCTTTCATGGCTGGAATCACTGGTTTGTTGTAGGGTTTTCGGGCTATATGGCCATGTTCTAGCAGCATTCTCTCCTGACATTTCACCTGCATCTATGGCAAGCATCCCCAGAGGTTGTGATGTCACAACATCTGAGGATGCTTGCCATAGATGCCATTGTGACCTCACAACCTCTAAGGATGCCTGCCACAGATGCAGGCAAAATGTCAGGAGAGAATGCTGCTAGAACATGGCCATATAGCCTGAGAAACCTACAACAACCCGACTCGAAATCCTTGGATGTATCAATGCTATAATACCCATGCAGTTTGACACCACTTTAACTGCCAAGGCTCATACTATGGAGTCCTGGGAGTTGTACCTTCTTTTCCCTCTCCGATACTGATAGAAAAACATAAGCCTTCATTCAACCCAGATAGAAACAAAGCAAAATCCCTCTTGAGTCAATGCTTTCCAGCTCCTTACGCATCAGGTTGACCTCCACATCATCACCTTTCTGGGTTTCTTCACAGATCTGTCCCTCTGCGGAGTCCGAGGGTTCCTCCTCTGGATCCAGGAAACACAAACGTTCCTCCTTCATCGGACCCTGAAAAAAGGATATTAACCATAACAATTATGGAAGAATCATAGATTAAAAGGGTGCATCTGCACCAGGCATAGGCCAACTTGGGCCCTCCAGGTGTTTTGGACTTCAACTCCCACAATTCCTCACAGCCTCAGGCCCCTTCCTTTTCTCTCTCAGCCGCTTAAGCAGCTTTCCCTTTGGCTTTGGCTCAGCACTAAGATGACCGTATGGCGCGAATCTAGTGTGCAATCCAATTTTGGAGAGATAATTTAGCCAAAAAAAGGTGAGCATTAGATTTGAGTAAATACAGTATAGTATATATTGTGTTGCTGTGAGTTTTCCGAGCTGTAGGGCTATGTTCCAGAAGCATTTTCTCCTGACGTTTTTCCCACATCTATGGCAGGTATCCTTAGAGGTTGTGAGGACTAAGCAAATGGGGCTTATATATCTATGGAAGGTCCAGGGTGAGAGAAAGAACTCTTGTCTGTTTGAGGCAAGTGTGAATGTTGCAATTGGCCATCTTGATTAGCATTGAATAGACTTGCAGCTTCAAAGCCTGGCTGATTGCTGCCTGGGGGTCCTTTGTTAGCTGGCCCTGATTGATTTTTGTCTGGAATTCCCCTGTTTGTTTGGTTTTTTTTAGTGTTGCTCTTTACTTACTGACTGGACGGCAATCTGTCAGGGGTTTTGAGAGTGTTGCTCTTTATTTATTGGCCTGATTTTATATATATATATATATGTGTGTGTGTGTGTGTGTGCACACACACACACACATACATACATACACACACACACACACAGTAGAATACTGCTTAATAAGTTATGAGATGCATTGTGTTGTCTATTGTGTCAATATTGTATATTATGCTTTTATGGTTTTAAATTGTATATCGTTGATTGATTCTTATCCTTGTTGTAAACCGTGTTGAGTCGCCTGTTGGGCTGAGAAACTGCGGTATACAAGTAAAGTAAATAAATAAATAAATAATCTTTATTTGCACTAGTATGTGGATGTAAATCTATTCATCAAATGCGCAGCGGAAGAGCCAGGTTTTGAGGTTCTTTTTAAAGGTTTCTAGGGTATCCAACATGAACAGGCCGGCAGAACATTGGATGAGCGAAAATGTTGGATAAGGAGGGATTAAGGAAAAACCTATTAAACATCAAACTACATTATGATTTTACAAATTAAACACCAAAATACCATGTTTTACAGCAAATCAACAGAAAAAGCAGTTTGATACATGGTAACGTGTATTGAATTTAGCACCAAAACATCGCAATGTATTGAAACAGCTCAGAATCCAGACAGGAAGTAGACTGCATTGGATAATACAGAATGTTGGATGAGCGAGGTTTGGATAAGTGAGACTCTACTGTATGTATGTATATGTATATGGATGTGTATATATATAAATATATATACACACACACACAGGTATACATATACACACACAGAGACAGACACACTATAGTACGAGGGTTGAATGAAAAGTAATGCCTCCACCTTCGTAACTCCTCAACAGATGGCAGTACTGGTATGCGGCAGATACTGGCTTGTTCAGTAGACTTTCCTCTACAGTTCCATTTTGGCAGGAAGCCTTAGCATTGAACGTTTATGTTGTGAAAGTGCAAAGTAAGGAACCCTGCATAGACAGTCGGTCAATGCGACTTAAGCAAAGTGCAGTCATTGAATTCTTGATGGCAGAAGGTGCCACCCCAAAGGGGATTCTTCAGAGAATGCAAGCTGTTTATGGTGATTGTGTTGATGTGAGTACTGTGCGTCATTGGGCAAGTAAGTTTAAAGATGTTGAGGTGGGAACATCTGACTTGCGTGACAAACAACGAGTTGGATGTCCCTTGACAGCAACAACCGAACTTTCACAAGCAACAGGTTGACATCTTTAAACTTACTCATTCATCTCATCACTGTGGTATCTCACTTGAACATGCTGCCTCTAAGTTCAGTGAAGTGTCCTTTTCTAGGGGGTTTTAAGCAGAGCCTAGATGGGCATCTGCCAGGAGGGCTTTGGCTGTGTGTTCCTGCGTGTCAGAAAGAGGTTGAACTGGATGGTCCTTGGGGTCTTTTCCAACTCTATGATTCTACAAACAATAGTGGGTGTTTGCAACAGTACGGTTCATGTTTTTGGATCTGCAGAAATCTCACCTGCCGTGTCGCTCTCTCTGCCTCCTTTTCCTGCCTCACGAGGAAGTCCTCTGCCAGGACCATAGCTTGGAAACATGTATCAGGTCCTCTGTCTCGGATCCAGACTTTGAGGTCTTGGGGAAGACTGGCCAGGAATTGCTCCAGAACGAGCAGCTCCAGGATCTGCTCCTTGCTGCGTCTCTCTGGCTTCAGCCACCGACTGCAAAGCTCTTGGAGTTGAGCGTAAACCCTTCGCGGATCCTCAACCTCCTGGCAGCAGAACCGCCGGAAGTGTTGGCGCTGTGCCTCTGTTTTCAGGGCATCTGCTCTCAAGATGGCCACCTTCACTTTCCCATAATCCTCCTTATCAGCAGATTCCAGGCTCCGAAAGGCTTGCTCTGCTTCTCCGCTCAACGCGGGCAAAAGTTGGGCTGCCCACTCTTCCTTTGGCCACCGACAGGCTTTGGCCACTTGCTCGTAGGAGGCCAGGAAGGCCTTGGCGTCCTCCCAGTGGGTGCTTTCTGGGGTCTCCCATGTTGTCGGAATGGGTTGCGTCGTCTTCATGAACTCCTGCCATTGGCCTTCCCAACGTTGCTGGACCCCCTTCGACGGTTTCCACGTATCCCCCCGTAATCCCCCTGAATCTGTTTTTTCCGCCATATAGTCATGGGAAGCTTTTCCGGCCGACAATAGATTTCCTTCCTTCATGGCCAGGTCTCTTGACTAAGCCGTCAACTAGCAAAGATCGACCTTGAAGAGCAGATTTCTTGTGGACTCTTTTTGCACAGCTTCGGTTCTCTGGGTTGATCTTCTGTTTCACACCAATGGGATGGACCAAACGCCTCAAACCCTCCGCGTCCCTTCCTCGGTGAAATTTAATTTATTTTTCCAATCCCTGAAAGAAAGAGAAACAGACAGAGAGTGGATGTTTCCAACTTTACATTTTCTTAGTCTTGGTGTTGTAATTTTTGTCCAATGTATATAAATAAAAATGTAATTTTCGTTTGTGGGATTAACAGAACTCAAAAACCACTGGACGAATTGACACCAAATTTGGACACAAGACACCTAACAACCCAATGTATGTCCTTCACCTCCAAAAAATTGATTTTGTCATTTGGGAGTTGTAGTTGCTGGGATTTATAGTTCACCTACAATCAAAGAGCATTCTGAACCCCACCAACGATGGAATTGAACCAAACTTGGCACACAGTTCTCCCATGACTAACAAAAAATATTGGAAGGGTTTGGTGGGCAGTGCCCTTTGGTTTTGGAGTTTAGTTCACAGCAACCCAATAATAATCTATATAAATAAAAATGTAATGTTCGTTTGTGGAATTAACATAACTCAAAAACCACTGGACGAATTGACACCAAATTTGGCCACAATACACCTAACAGTCCTATGAGTGTCCATTACCCCTGAACACACACACACACAAAACCCCAGCGGAACAGACTTTAAAACCTCAAAAATACACCATATATACATGTACACTCATATACATGTATACATATACACATGCACGCATTCATACACACTCACATATATATATATGCACAAACACACAGAAATATACACATATATACACACATGTATATACATACACACATATCAACATATACACATGCACACCCAAATATACATATATACACACATACACTGGATAATGGAGAAAGGCAGGGAGTTTCAGAAAAACATCTACTTCTGCTTCATTGACTATTCTAAAGCCTTTGACTGTGTGGATCATAATAAATTGTGGCAAGTTCTTGGGGATGGGCATACCAAGCCACCTTGTCTCTCTCCTGAGGAATCTGTACAAGGACCAAGTGGCAACAGTCAGAACTGACCACGGAACAACAGACTGGTTCAAGATTGGGAAAGGCGTACGGCAAGGCTGCATCCTCTCACCCAACATTTTTAACTTGTATGCAGAACACATCATGCGATGTGCGGGGCTGGATGAATGCAAAGCTGGGGTGAAAATTGCTGGAAGAAACATTAACAACCTCAGATATGCAGATGACACCACTCTGATGGCCGAAAGCGAGGAGGAGCTGAGGAGCCTTCTAATCAAGGTGAAAGAAGAAAGCGCAAAAGCTGGGTTGCAGCTAAACGTAAAAAAACCCCAAGATTATGGCAACAAGAATGATTGACAACTGGAAAATAGAGGGAGAAAATGTGGAGGCCGTGACAGACTTTGTATTTCTAGGCGCAAAGATTACTGCAGATGCAGACTGTGGCCAGGAAATCAGAAGACGCTTACTTCTTGGGAGGAGAGCAATGTCCAGTCTCAATAAAATAGTAAAGAGTAGAGACATCAGACTGGCAACAAAGATCCGCCTAGTCCCATGATGGTGAACCTATGACACGCGTGTCAGCACTGACACGCATGGCTATTTTTGATGACACACAGACACATGCGGCCACATACAGAGAAATACACCTTATAAGAGCCAATCTAATTCCATCCTTAAATTTGTAAAAGGCTCTACAAATTTAACATCTGCACATTTGAGCATTGTTCACTCCATAACTCAGCATGGATTATACATTTTTCTTATTTAAACTATAAATATTGCAAAATTATGGGGTTTTTTTTTCTCAAAGTGACACTCCACCCAAGTTATGCTCAGGTTTTTTTTGGCACACCAAGCTCAAAAGGTTGCCCACCACTGGCCTAGTCAAAGCCATGGTATTCCCTGTAGTAACCTACGGATGTGAGAGCTGGACCTTAGGGAAGGCTGAGCGAAGGAAGATCGATGCTTTTGAACTGTGGTGCTGGAGGAAAGTTCTGAGAGTGCCTTGGACTGCGAGAAGATCCAACCAGTCCATCCTCCAGGAAATAAAGCCCGACTGCTCATTGGAGGGAAGGATACTAGAGACAAAGTTGAAGTCCTTTGGCCACATCATGAGGAGACAGGAAAGCCTGGAGAAGACAATTATGCTGGGGAAAGTGGAAGGCAAAAGGAAGAGGGGCCGACCAAGGGCAAGATGGATGGATGGCATCCTTGAAGTGACTGGACTGACCTTGAAGGAGCTGGGGGTGGTGACGGCCGACAGGGAGCTCTGGCGTGGGCTGGTCCATGAGGTCACGAAGAGTCGGAGACGACTGAACGAATGAACAACAACAACAACACACACATACATGCACACATACATATACACATGCACGCACACACATATACAAATACACATGCATACGCACATATATACACACAAATATGCATATAGACAATATGCATATATGCATAAACACAATATGCATGTACACATATAAACACACAAATACACAAATATATACACACACATATATACACCCACCCACCCCCACATATGTATATGCAAACACACATATATACACAAATATATACACACACATAAACACATATACACAGACTGGGCCACAGCAATGCTTGGCAGGGGGCGGCTAGCAATAATAATAATAATAATAATAATAATAATAATAATAATGTATTTAGCTATCTCTGTCAAAGAGAGCTGTTTCCTCACCAAACTGAAGCAATGCAGTTTGACATCTCCTTGAACAGCCATGGCTCAATGCTATGGGATGCTGGGAGTTGTAGTTTTACAAGGTCTTTTGCTCTCTCTCTGCCAAAGAGAGTTGTTTCCTCACCAAACTGAAGTAATGTAGTTGGACATTCCCTTGAAATGCCACGGCTCAATGCTATGGGATGCTGGGAGATGTAGTTTTACAAGGTCTTTTGCTCTCTCTCTCTCTGCCAAAGAGAGCTATTTCCCTACCAAATTGAAGCAATGTAGTTTGACATTCCCTTGAAATGCCATGGCTCAATGCTATGGGATGCTGGGAGTTGTAGTTTTACAAGGCCTTTAGCCTTCTCTACACTACAGATCCCATTATCCCTTAGCACTGAACCATGGTGATTAGAAGGGGTGCCGAATTGCATGATCCCTCCAGCGTGGGAGTGCTTTAAGGAGGGCAAGATTGCACTATAAATCCCTAAGCACCTATAGGGACATGGTTGCACTACAAATCCCTAAGTAAACCCCACCTTGAAAGGAGTGGATGGTCCTTCCACGGCCTGTTCAGATCCGATAGGGCGGCCTCGCGGCGCTTAGTCCTCCAGCCCGAGTCCCTGATCCGGGTTGATCTCGGAACATCCTCCCTATTCGTCTGGATGGCACTGGGCAGCAGATCCTTTCTGCTTTCTCACTTGTCGCCTTTCTCTCTTTCCTTGTTCCTCCTCCTTTTTTGGGATACAGCGCCACTCTATCTCCCCCTAGTGGTCATGCCAAGCATTACAGCTTGTCTGAAGATGACAATATTATAGAACAGGCATGGGCCAACTTGGGCCCTCCAAGTGTTTTGGACTCCAACTCCCAGCATTCCTAACAGCCTCAGGCCCCTACCTGTTACAAAACAATTGGGCTCGGAGGAGGCCCCAAAAGGTCATCTAGTCCAACCCCTGCCACTGCATTTGCAATGAAGGTCCTCTTTGGGTGCATCTACTACACTGTAGAATGGATGCAGTTTTGACACCTCTTTCTCTGCTAGGGCTTAATGATATGCAATCCTGGGATTTGTAGTTTGCACCAGCACTAGTTGAGAAGACTAAAGACCTTGTGAAACTATAGCTCCCATGATGTCATGGCCAGTTAACGGGGTGCCAAACTGCATTAACGCCACAGTGTAGATGCAGCCTTTGAATCTTATCTAGCCATTAGATCTGAACGGGCCGAGGAAGGACCATCCACCCGCTTCAAGGTGGGGTTTTACTTAGGGATTTATAATGCAACCATGTCCCTATAGGTACTTAGGTACTTAGGGATTTATAGTGCAACCTTGCCCTCCTTAAAGCACTCCCACGCTGAAGGAATCGTGCAATTCGGCACCCCTTCTAACCACCATGGTTCAGTGCTAAGGGATAATGGGATCTGTAATGCAGAGAAGGCTGTAGACCTTGTAAAACTACAACTCCCAGCATCCCATAGCATGAGCCATGGCATTATATGAAAAGTAATGCCTCCACTGTATTGTCGAAGGCTTTCATGGCTGGAATCACTCAGTTCTTGTGGGTTTTTTCGGGCTATATGGCCATGTTCTAGAAGCATTTCTCCAGGAGAAATGCCTCTAGAACAGTGGTTCTCAACCTGGGGTCCCCAGAGGTTTTTGGCCTACAACTCCCAGAAATCTCAGCCAGTTGACCAGCTGTTAGGATTTCTGGGAGTTGGAGGCCAAAAACATCTGGGGACCCCAGGTTGAGAACCACTGCTCTAGAACATGGCCATATAGCCCGAAAAAACCCACAAGAACTAAGTAATGCCTCCACCTTCGTAACTCCTCAACAGATGGCAGTACTGGTATGCGGCAGGTACTGCCTTGTTCAGTAGACTCTCCTCTACAGTTCCATTTTGGCGGAAAGACTTAGCATTGAATAGTTGTGTTGTTAAAGTGTGAAGTATGGAACCCTGCGCAGTCGGTCAGTCAATGCAACTTAAGCAACGTGCAGTCTTTGAATTCTTGACAGCAGAAGGTGTCACCCCAAAGGAGATTCATCAGAGAATGCAAGCTGTTTATGGTGATTGCGTTGATGTGAGTCCTGTGTGTCATTGGGTGAGTAAGTTTAAAGATGTTGAAGTAGGAACATCTGACTTGCGTGACAAACAAAGAGTTGGACATCCTGTGACAGCAACCACCGGGTTTCACAAGCAAAAGGTTGACAGATTGATTCAGGACGAT